GTTTCGTTGGCGGGCGAGAGGGAAGCAGGCGACTTTTTGGCCACTTTTAATCGCTCGGTATTAATTAACCACAAGTTTTTAAAGAATAAATTTGGTGTTCCGCATAAGACTAACCACAAATCTTTCATGTGTAATGGTTAAAAGAGTAACAAAAAACAAAGTTTAGTGGTTCTTTAACACTATGGAGCTGATCGATGTCGTCTGGTGGATAAGGGACGTAACTCTGCACGGCGAGCTGCGGTTACTCTAGAGATTTAAAGGGGCACTGATCCATGGCTTCAAAACCGGCAGTCTAACACTGCAATTTGCCAGCGGACTGAACTGAGCTTGACATGAGACTGGGCTACCACCTGTCAGGACAGCGGACTATGAGACTATGTTTATATGTTTACCAAAGCGCGCGTGTTGATTAATACAATGATTGATTGCTCGTTGTTGCCTAACTAAATTATCATCATGAAAATAGTCGTCACCTGTGCTATCTCAACTGACCAATGAGACTTTTCGCCCAAGTGAAAAAGCTGAAACAAAGTCACATTGCCAGTTGAGAAACTATCACAATATATAATATCCCCAAACGTTATACACATTACACTAGTAGATTGTTAAAGACATGTAACCATGGAACAGGTTGATTTTTTAGATGTATGGGGTCTTGTTGCTGTAAGTGGATATAACGGGTACATTCCTCCAACTTCAAAATGGTAAAAATTGTTATAATAATCTAGATGGACGTATTTTGCAGCCAGTTTGTAAAACATCTGAAGATGACTGCATTTCCCAATTAATGACAAGACGAAATTATTTCAGTTTTTTTATTAATAAGAATACGCCTCTATACTATCAGTGGCGCAGGAGAGGTCGCGGACCAGTCAATAATTTTGGGATATCATTCAATCACCCACGGGACAAAATACAATCTCCAAAGCTACAGCTCTAGACAAGTTCTCCTTTAGTGTCAGGTTGCCTTGCCCTGGAAACCATTTTTTCAGCAAGTATCATTCAAACCTGTTAAGAGGTGTGAGCAGGACCCAGTCCTCGACCCGGACAGCGAGAATACCGTACATAGTTACACAAGTTTTCTGTTGCTTTTTTTCCCAATCTGAAACGTGAAGTTAATACAGACATATATTCAGAAATCGTTAAGTACAGACATATATTCAGAAATTGTTCAGTACAGACATATATTCAGAAATTGTTAAGTACAGACATATAATCAGAAATCGTTAAGTACAGACATATATTCAGAAATCGTTAAGTACAGACATATATTCAGAAATCGTTAAGTACAGACATATATTCAGAAATCGGCAAATATGCTGAACATCATTAAAAACGCACCACCTGTATTAGTTTGGATTTCCAAGAGCATAAATGAGCAATCGGTGTAAATTTTACATACTTTTGTAGTCCAATGATTGGTAAAGAAAAGAAACAAGAACCAATCCAGCAAAACAGTGAAGTTTTAATTCAGCTGACCATGAAAGAAACATGGAGTCAAATTGGAAAGTCAGTAACGTTTATGACCACCGTTAGCAGCAACACAAGCTGTGCAGCGTCTCCTCATTGAACTGATAAGTCTCTGAATAATGTTTTGAGGCAATGCATTCCACTTTTGTTGCAAGGCATTCTCAAGTTCCCCAAGGTTGTTGATCTGTGGGCGACGCGAGAGGCGTTGGCCGATGTAATCTCACAAGAGTTCAATAGGAGACAAATCTGGTGATAATGCAGGCCATGGAAGTAGAGGAATGTTGTTTGCCAGAAACTGTGTTGCAACACATGCTCCATTGTCCTGCTGGACTGTGTGCAAATCTTGATGCACAAACTATCAGAGCGGTTTTGTGATGATAACTGATTCCCCACACCATAATGCTTCCTCCACCCCACCGATCTGTTTGCACAACACAGTCCTGATGGTAAAGTTCTCCCCGTCGACGCCATACCCGTAGACGCCCGTCAGCATTTCGCAAGTGAAAACGTGACTCGTCGGAGAACACAACACCATGCCAACGTCGTAACAACCACAAACGATGCTGTTCAGCCCATCGTCGGCGTTCACGGCGATGTCTATCAGTCAGGATAGGTCCAACATAAGGGCGTCGACACCGTAATCCTGCCGCACGGAGACGGCGTCGGACGGTGGAAGCACTGATCAAACCACGTCGGCCTTGGACAGCGTTGGCGGTTCTGGCAGCCGGCAACGTACGATCCCGAATATGGCGCCAAACAATGTCTCGATCTTGGCGAGGGGTGGTAACACGTGCCTGGCCAGGACGTTGGCGGTCCCTGGTGGTTCCTGTTTGTTGGTACCTGTTGGCAAGTCTTATGATGGTGGAATGATGGCAACCAAATCGTCTGGCAATAATCCTGCTTGATGTGCCAACCTGCAACATGCCCAACGCCCGTTCTCGTTCCTCTGGTGACAATCTCGGCATTACAAAATAAACTTTACTTGCGGAGGTACAGCTGAAATGAGAACGGTTTTTGCCGACGGTCATTTATACCCCTAATCAGCATGTTTTACGCATGCAATTTGTGCTTTTCGTGTGTGTTGTGCATGAATTTTGTTGTTGTCATGTGATGTGTTCCATGATGTGTTCGGGCAATCCGTTCTTTCCTGTACAGCATTATTTATTGTTTTTTGTGTTATTAACAACATTTCCAACGTTCATTTTCACCCTCAAAACAATCCTTTTATCATATTTCAAAATTTACAGGTTGTGCGTTTTCAATGATTTTCAGTATAGTTGCACAAGACCAATGAATAATCAACACCAGTAAATAAGATTGCGGGATAACTATGACTGCAACTGTATATTATCCATGGAAGTCGCTAGACAGAAGTACCGAAACATCATATGGGAGCATACTTAGTAGATATACTGCAACGTCACGTTAGCCCGCGTGGGTCTTGCGCTGCATGAGTAGTAGACAGGGGTTCGATTCGGATCAGACCGCAGATCCCCGATCCACGTTCTGGCGCTGTTACAACAAGGACGTCACGTTAGCCATGCTTCACTGCGGCATGATATCTCAGTGAGTCTTGCGCTGCAGTACAAGCAGCCGCACATACACATACACACGCATGCACGTCGTCATATAGATTCTCAGGGGTTCGATTCGGATCGTACATTCGAATGCTCGACCAATCGTGGGTGTATGATATGTATCTGTGTGTATGATGTGTATCTATATGTACATCAAGTTATCTCAGATGTTCATGCCTTGACTACACACTCCTGTCGTCTTTCTTGTTGTTATCACCTTCACTGTACACTGCAACATGTTCGGTTGATTGTCCATTTTCAATCCACCCACTGCCGTCACCTCTTTGTATTCCTGTAATTATGGCAACGAGCTTGATGCACCATCCTTTATGCTTGGAGACCCCTCAAAGGTTGTACTGACCATACACATAATTATAATTGTACTGACTTTTACATCTGTATGGATCTAACACATACAAATAGGGACTATTTTAATCTTGCAAAATATATTTTAGGATATGATGTAAGCTTTTGTCACATGACAATGAATTATTAAAGACAAAAAAAAAGCAGGAATAATTGAACATTTATGTGAAACCATGCATTTTGCCAAATTTGGGGTAAGAACGAAATGAAAGTGCCAAAGTTCTACATAAAACTGGTGACAAGGTACCTTATGAACACCTTAACCAATATTACCAGAAAATGTGCTCTGAAGATAGGATGACTGAGTTGTCATCATCAGCCCATCCACACAGCTGGCTCCCCTGTCTGCCTGCTCAGGATCAGGGCTAGGGTTAGTGAGTGAGTTGGGTGATTGAGACTTTGCACTTTGTACAGATATTAGTCATATGTTTTTGTCATTGTTTCAATGAGCAGTGACAAAGACAACAAACACAATGGTGATCAGATATTTTTGTACTTTATAGTTTTATACACTGCGGTACTGTAGCAAAACCATGTACAGATCATAGGCACACAAGTATATACAGTCAAATATAAATATAGATGTCACATGCTGTCATCATATTTACATATTTACACATATGAAAATAATCAGTATTTAATACCGATATGGCTGACTTGTACACCAATGTCCCAGTACAATCATGTATCCTACATACCCCACACAATACTGATAACATTTACAGTAACAGCTTGGTACTACTTTTCATTTTTCATTTGGCAAATTGTGTTCTTCCCTGCAAACAAAAACTTATGTGGTTTTGACAACATGGCTGAAGCTAGTAATTCAGTGACTTAAAATGTTCTCTGTAGACACCAAACAAGAGTGAAACAAAGTGGCACAGATATAAAGGTTGCCTCAAGTCATGACAGTGACCAGCATGTACTGTTGATGAACTGGTCAGTTGAGTATTCAACAACTAACATTCAATAAACTGAGGAACTTAATCAAGTGAACTTGTGATCATGCTACAATTCTGTGCTTAGGTTCAACATACAGCATTACAATGGGTTAGTGTCAATATTAACAGTAGCCACTGAAGTAGTGTCGAAACTAGGCTTAGTCGTATCAGCAGTCCGTGGTGACACTAACACTAGTCACATTAGCGGTCAGTGGTGACACTAACACTAGTCGTATCAGCAGTCAGTGGTGACACTAACACTAGTCACATTAGCAGTCAGTGGTGACACTAACTACACTAGTCAGTGGTGATCAGCAGTCAGTCAGTGGTGACACTAACACTAGTCACATTAGCAGTCAGTGGTGACACTAACACTAGTCGTATCAGCAGTCAGTGGTGACACTAACACTAGTCACATTAGCAGTCAGTTGTGACGGTAACACTAGTCGTATCAGCAGTCAGTGGTGACACTAACACTAGTCACATTAGCAGTCAGTGGTGACACTAACACTAGTCGTATCAGCAGTCAGTGGTGACACTAACACTAGTCACATTAGCAGTGGTGACACTGACACTAACACTAGTCACATCAGTCAGTGGTGACACTAACACTAGTCACATTAGCAGTATCATCAGCGGTCAGTGGTGACACTAACACTAGTCACATTAGCAGTCAGTGGTGACACTAACACTAGTCACATCAGCAGCAGTCAGTGGTGACACTAACACTAGTCACAGTCAGTGGTGGTGACACTACTAGTCACTAGTCAGCAGTCAGTCACGTGGTGACACTAACACTAGTCATATCAGCAGTCAGTGGTGACACTAACACTAGTCACATTAGCAGTCAGTGGTGACACTAACACTAGTCGTGGTGACATCAGCAGTCAGTGGTGACACTAACACTAGTCGTATCAGCGGGCAGTGGTGACACTAACACTAGTCACATTAGCAGTCAGTGGTGACACTAACACTAGTCACATTAGCAGTCAGTGGTGACACTAACACTAGTCACATTAGCAGTCAGTGGTGACACTAACACTAGTCACATTAGCAGTCAGTGGTGACACTAACACTAGTCGTATCAGCAGTCAGTGGTGACACTAACACTAGTCACATTAGCAGTCAGTGGTGACACTAACACTAGTCACATTAGCAGTCAGTGGTGACACTAACACTAGTCACATTAGCAGTCAGTGGTGACACTAACACTAGTCACATTAGCAGTCAGTGGTGACACTAACACTAGTCACATTAGCAGTCAGTGGTGACACTAACACTAGTATCAGCAGTCAGTGGTGACACTAACACTAGTATCAGCAGTCAGTGGTGACACTAACACTAGTATCAGCAGTCAGTGGTGACACTAACACTAGTATCAGCAGTCAGTGGTGACACTAACACTAGTCACATTAGCAGTCAGTGGTGACACTAACACTAGTCACATTAGTCAGTCATCACAGTAACACAGTGGTGAGTCAGTGGTGACACTAACACTAGTCACATCACATTAGCAGTCAGTGGTGACACTAACACTAGTCACATCACATTAGCAGTCAGTGGTGACACTAACACTAGTCACATCACATTAGCAGTCAGTGGTGACACTAACACTAGTCACATCACATTAGCAGTCAGTGGTGACACTAACACTAGTCACATCACATTAGCAGTCAGTGGTGACACTAACACTAGTATCAGCAGTCAGTGGTGACACTAACACTAGTCACATTAGCAGTCAGTGGTGACACTAACACTAGTCACATCACATTAGCAGTCAGTGGTGACACTAACACTAGTATCAGCAGTCAGTGGTGACACTAACACTAGTCACATCACATTAGCAGTCAGTGGTGACACTAACACTAGTATCAGCAGTCAGTGGTGACACTAACACAAGTCACATTAGCAGTGAATGTTGATACCAACACTAGCCATAGTAGCAGTCAGTCTCGATACCAACACTAACCATAGTCACATTCAGTTTAGACACACTGTCTGCCTGACTGAAGGAGATCTCAGATATTTACTACTTTGATGAAAACCACAAGAACATGTATGGTGCTGATGAACCAAGAAATATGAACAAGATGAATCTCGGATTCAAACCAACAATCAAAGATTTCTCGCATATGAAAGGGGCACAACTGCACAGTGAATCACAGTGCCTAACAGAAATGTGTACCCCAACAAACAGTGAAAGTTGTACACTGCTATGATTTGGATCCTTCTGGCCCTGGTCACATCCGATTGAGCGCTGGTCCCATCAGCAGGTCTCCCAGTAGAACTGACTGCCTGACTTACTGCATACGAGGTGGGATGAGTGGTTAGTTAAGGAGATAGTCTCCGTTGTATGAGCTGCATAGCTGGTCAACCTCTACACACTCTCACAATACTACCATGCCTACTGCTGCAAATGGTGGGTTCTCTAACCACTGTAGTGATGTAGGGCAGAGATGATACAGTCACGATAACACACGATGCCACACTAAGTTCAAGATACCTTACACAATATACACTACTAAAACAAAAGTGTGAACACATATATGTCTAATTTCGTAACAAACAAAGGAAAACAAATCTGTTTAACACTTTCCCAACATATAAACATACAAATAAATAAAGAGGAACCTGCATCACATGAATAACAACAAATACCAGGGTGCACGAATTCATCAATGAATTGTTCCAGCCTTACAAGTGACACAGATCAAAACATCTCTCAATGGTTTGGTAAGATACACAACACGCTACCATATACATACAACAGGATAGCACACATTGTGGTGGGAAGCCCTGGCCCATCATTGGAAGATAAAAAACTCACGACATTTTCTTCTATAACAAAATTTCTTGGTCAATATGCAAAGATGGAGGGATCGTTTACAGTATATTTGTTTTTAAAACATTTAAAAATTGACTCCTTGTACAATGTCAGAAATTGGTACTACTCACTTTAAAATCATGTCGTTGATACCATTACACATAAATCAAGACAACCAAATGGCACGTCCTAAGGCGACCTGAGCTTCGGTCAGTTACTGCAGTCCTAAAGCTTCAGCAGCTATCCATCTGCTGGATACATGTGACAAGAACATGGAGGGTGGTCCTATGTAAATATACACCTGTATGATCCCACACCTGTAACACACAACCGTCCACAGAGAAAACCATGCACACATTCACACCAGTAGCTTTTTCTGGGTTGTTCATGATACAGTCACTGAACACAATACATATCAACAGACAATTATGAAACGCATAAAGCATCACATTTGGCACTTTGATTTTGATGGCACTTAGCAACAGCAAACAACATGTCAACCTCAGCACACACAGAAGACCTCTTCTACCCAGGAACGGACAATCATGTCCTTCAAATATACAGCCAGGACTCTTCTGCTCTCCTGCACAACACAAGTATCAGCACTTCAATTTACAGTTCTGCCTGTTCGAAACTTCACAAAAAGCAATATATCTTCCAGCAAGGTGTTCAATCAATCATACCGAACGTACTGTGAAACTTTGTTAATCTGGACCCTGTTGGTTCAGAAGCCCATCTTCCACAGATGCAGGGAACACTTACATAAAGTCACATTAGTCATGATCTGCTCTTCCAGACATTTTTATTACAGGATGAATTCAGAGGGAACATGGTTGTCTGGATGAACAGGGTGTCACTCAACTTATCGGCTAAGCAAAGATTTCACTGTGGACACACAATCCGTGAATGTTTGCAGTTTACTGTAAGCATCACATTTCAAATATATGTTCCTACAGATATTTTGCAGTTTGATTTTGACTCCGGATTTGAAAAGTATACCGAGAAGCCAAGTTGAAGAATGGTGAAGACAGGTCTGTCATGCAGTGTACAGCACAAGCAGTTCTCAGTTGACTCCCAGTGGGAATGAATAACAATACAAGCGCCTTGAGAATGCTGATAGGTAACAGTCTGTTTGAGCATGTCATGGAGTTGAGGGAGTTTGGAAACACAGTACAACATCATACAATACATGTCATACACATAGATGAGCTACGAACACTGTACATATGATCAACCGGTATATCAATGACGTGATAGTACAACAAGAGACATAAGGGCTCATTCTTCACTCTGTTGAAATAAAGCATTAACATTATACACCGGTTTCTGTCTTCACACACAGTTAACTAACCCTACCACAGACAAATCCAATGCTTAGTTTATATTAGACTTTCAATAGTCTTGCAGTCAGACAGCTTTGAGCACACAGGCCAAGAACACTACACAAGCCATTGATTCATGAACTATAACAGCGTGGCAATTACCATAGCTTGTTGTGGCCTGTTTATCACGCAACAGGACTGAATAATCAGAAAGTCTGATGAGACACATCATCCATCATTCTTCAACAAAAAAACTTCTATCAAAGCTATGGACAGTATTCAGGTCAATTTTCAGGAAATTTTTTCCACAATATCTTTCTTTTTGTACAATTCAATTGCAAATGTTATAAGGATCTAAATATCCTAAAAACATGAAAGAGTAATGGCTCATTTCTTTAAGTATTCCAAACCTTTTACTACAGACACGTTTGCTGAAATATTCTGACTGGGTCACTCGTTAATTACCTTAGCATGGAAAACATCGACATTTGAGGGAATGCAACAATTATTGGCATTTGCAAGAAAGCTGCATAGCATGTACTTCATATAGATACCAAACTACCTCTTGATTCTATGGCAACAGGCTTCTCTGAATGGGACTTCTGTGAGATGAGCGAAGGTTTGGAGCACAAGGGTACAGCTGCATGCTTCAGGTGATACAAATAACATGGACATGAGACATTATTTCACTACTGGCAATCTTGACCACATAAGCATTGTGTGTGTTGGGAATGATGTCAATTTCCACAGTATTCCGTTATGTGAAGGCGAGTCAGCACAGTATGTGATTAAAGCGACACAGGGTGTACCACCACTCATGTGAGTGAAGTGTCACGAGCACCAGTATGGTTAACAGCTAATGGTTTTTGTCATGATGAAGGGAATAAGTGAATCACGGCATTGGTAATACCTGCAACAGATTTCAGAAAATGCCTGTACAGAATATCATACATGAAACCCTTTTCGTTCACCTTATAAGATTGTCTATTCTAACAGTCCAACTGAATCACACATGACAAGTACTCTGAAACACCTCTCGTCTCACTTCAGGTGAGTATACATCTTTGATTGTCGCTGCCCTCTGTCTGGCTCATCTGACAACACAGCACTGTCAGCCAGTGCTACATACGTCACACTCATTCCACAGTAATATACAATATGGACAGTAGTATTTACACCTGTACACGGTCTGCGTGGGTCTAGCCCTGTGAGACACCTATACACACACACTCTCCCGGTCACATTGTCCCCACCATACATAAAACAGACACACTTCACGCATCAAATCCTTCAGCAAATCCACCAATACCTGTTTCAAAATAACTTTATCTGATCAGGTTCTGTGGCTCACCACTTTAATATTTCTACAGGCTTAACCCAACTTGAAAGTGTGGATGACAGGCTTGAGTATTAACTAGTCCTGCTGAAAATACATCACTTCTGTCTTTTGGAGGACCAAGCTTTCATACAAAATGTCTTGACACTAATAACCTCTAAAATACTGCTGTCTATATCTCCAGAATGCTTATAGATGGAGTTGGACAAAGGGAGACAACTGCAGCAGGAATGCACCTGGCAATCCTAACTCTCTGTTGAATCTTGCAGGCCAACTGACTGCATCATCACCAGGATATAGCACACTGAACCATTCATAGGAAAACTTGATCATAGTTTGGTACATCTGATGAAATGATCTCCACAAACTTCAAGCAGGTGATTCCTCTTCGGGAAAATGACCTGTTCAGTCCAGAGGTTATTTATTCATCAACATCCTCTGAGGACATATGTGGTATATGTCTTAAAACTTGACGGAGCCTTCTGGCAAACTATTGTTGATGAGTCTGTAGTAACGTATGTCATTCACAAACCGGTGCGTGCTCTGAGTGAAGGAAGGCAGATCCTGAAAGAACAACATTAGGCTTTAACGAATGCATGTCACAAACTGAACTAAGGGTCCGTTCATAATTTATAGCTATTATAAAGAACTTCTGATGCACGCACATGCATACACATTTCAGCAGCAGTGCAGCAAAATTCCAGCTATATTTTGAAGGTTCATTAAGAATCAGCTCTGGAACAGGCACACCAGCAAACAACATGCATCAGACGGGCCACATGTTCTGGCCACCACATGTCAGTTGGCACAAAAGGTCTATTTTGAATCCCTCTGTCTAAACTTACTGAGTCCATCTTGAAGTTGTGAGCCAGCACAGTCTTCTGGTTGTCGTCAAGGCCCTCCATGTTGGTGAGGAATTGTGGCAGGTAGGTTGAGTAGAAGCCATCAAAGTCGATGGACGCCATGTTGTAGACGGTGATGACAATCTCCTCCTGTAGCAGGTCATGGGACTTCTGCACCAACACCTGGATCAGCACGTTCAGGAACTGGCAGAGCATCATCTCCATGAAGATTTTCTGGAGAATTGATTTAACAGTGTGTAGGTGGTCTTAACAAGAAAACTGACAGGGTGAAATGTCATCAGGGTACTAATAGGTATGTTCCTTTCTGACTTGTGAAGACATACTCTTTTACAGGCCTATAGGTAAGAAAAATGGGGTTCAAACATGACAAATGTAATAAGTGTGATATTATAATCAGTATCTACTATTACAATCGATAAGCCTGACTACGACTACCACCACAGTTGACCAGCCTGACTAATACACCTCTTATAACCATCAATAACGTGCTTAGTTCCTATTTTAATGTGTTCCTATGGAAGCCAGAACGATCTAAGAATACTGTTATTTCTCTACAATATTTTGCTAAGTCAATCATACACTGAACCGAGACTGACCTTATGATACAGTTTCCATTTGGAGTTGAGGCTTTCTAATGATTCAAGGTTCTGTTTAAATATTGCAATATCAGCCTGCAGGAATGACTGTCCATATGACTGAAAGACAAAGCAAATGCACACCTCAAATAATCGAACGCATCATCTCAAATCTTGTAGCAGACAAAATTGGTCCAAACGGATCCAACAAACAACTTAACTATGACAGCATTTATATGACATCAGCAGAAGTTCTCCATTCACTTGTAATTTCAGTGCTGTACAGAGACATGTATAGGTGTAAAGAGTCTTAAAGAATAGTACACAGTCGTACAGAACTGAAGAGACGTGTAGAGGTGTAGAGAGTCTTAAAGAATAGTACACGGTTGTACAGAACTAAACAGAGACATGTAGAGGTGTAGAGAGTCTAAAAGAATAGTACACGGTTGTACAGAACTGAACAGAGACGTGTAGAGGTGTAGAGAGTCTTTAAGAATAGTACACGGTTGTACAGAACTGAACAGAGACGTGTAGAGGTGTAGAAAGTCTTTAAGAATAGTACGGTTGTACAGAACTGAACAGAGACGTGTAGAGGTGTAGAAAGTCTTTAAGAATAGTACAAGGTTGTACAGAACTGAACAGAGACGTGTAGAGGTGTAGAGAGTCTTTAAGAATAGTACAAGGTTGTACAGAACTGAACAGACGTGTAGAGGTGTAGAAAGTCTTTAAGAATAGTACAAGGTTGTACAGAACTGAACAGAGACGTGTAGAGGTGTAGAGAGTCTTAAAGAATAGTACACGGTTGTACAGAACTGAACAGAGACGTGTAGAGGTGTAGAGAGTCTTTAAGAATAGTACAAGGTTGTACAGAACTGAACAGAGACGTGTAGAGGTGTAGAGTAGTCTTTAAGAATAGTACAAGGTTGTACAGAACTGAACAGAGACGTGTAGAGGTGTAGAAAGTCTTTAAGAATAGTACAAGGTTGTACAGAACTGAACAGAGACGTGTAGAGGTGTAGAGAGTCTTTAAGAATAGTACACGGTTGTACAGAACTGAACAGAGACGTGTAGAGGTGTAGAGAGTCTTAAAGAATAGTACACGCTTGTACAGAACTGAACAGAGACGTGTAGAGGTGTAGAAAGTCTTTAAGAATAGTACAAGGTTGTACAGAACTGAACAGAGACGTGTAGAGGTGTAGAGAGTCTTTAAGAATAGTACACGGTTGTACAGAACTGAACAGAGACGTGTAGAGGTGTAGAAAGTCTTTAAGAATAGTACACGGTTGTACAGAACTGAACAGAGACGTGTAGAGGTGTAGAAAGTCTTTAAGAATAGTACAAGGTTGTACAGAACTGAACAGAGACGTGTAGAGGTGTAGAGAGTCTTAAAGAATAGTACACGGTTGTACAGAACTGAACAGAGACGTGTAGAGGTGTAGAAAGTCTTTAAGAATAGTACAAGGTTGTACAGAACTGAACAGAACGTAGAGAGAGTCTTAAAGAATAGTACACAGTTGTACAGAACTGAACAGAGACGTGTAGAGGTGTAGAAAGTCTTTAAGAATAGTACAAGGTTGTACAGAACTGAACAGAGACGTGTAGAGGTGTAGAGAGTCTTTAAGAATAGTACAAGGTTGTACAGAACTGAACAGAGGCGTGTAGAGGTGTAGAAAGTCTTTAAGAATAGTACAAGGTTGTACTGAACTGAACAGAGGCGATGTAGAGGTGTAGAGAGTCTTAAAGAATAATACGGTTGTACAGAACTGAACAGAGGCGTGTAGAGGTGTAGAAAGTCTTTAAGAATAGTACAAGGTTGTACAGAACTGAACAGAGACGTGTAGAGGTGTAGAGAGTCTTAAAGAATAGTACAAGGTTGTACAGAACTGAACAGAGACGTGTAGAGGTGTAGAAAGTCTTTAAGAATAGTACACGGTTGTACAGAACTGAACAGAGACGTGTAGAGGTGTAGAGAGTCTTAAAGAATAGTACACGCTTGTACAGAACTGAACAGAGACGTGTAGAGGCGTAGAAAGTCTTTAAGAATAGCACAAGGTTGTACAGAACTGAACAGAGACGTGTAGGGGTGTAGAGAGTCTTTAAGAATAGTACGGTTGTACAGAACTGAACAGAGGCGTGTAGAGGTGTAGAAAGTCTTTAAGAATAGTACGGTTGTACAGAACTGAACAGAGACGTGTAGAGGTGTAGAGAGTCTTTAAGAATAGTACAAGGTTGTACAGAACTGAACAGAGACGTGTAGAGGTGTAGAAAGTCTTTAAGAATAGTACAAGGTTGTACAGAACTGAACAAAGACGTGTAGAGGTGTAGAGAGTCCTTAAGAATAGTACACGGTTGTACAGAACTGAACAGAGACGTGTAGAGGTGTAGAAAGTCTTTAAGAATAGTACAAGGTTGTACAGAACTGAACAGAGACGTGAAGAGAGGTGTAGAGAAGTCTTAAAAAAATAGTACCGCGGTTTGTACAGAACTGAACAGAGGCGATGTAGAGGTGTAGAAAGTCTTTAAGAATAGTACAAGGTTGTACAGAACTGAACAGAGACGTGTAGAGAGTCTTAAAGAATAGTACAGTTGTACAGAACTGAACAGAGACGTGTAGAGGTGTAGAAAGTCTTTAAGAATAGTACAAGGTTGTACAGAACTGAACAGAGACGTGTAGAGGTGTAGAGAGTCCTTAAGAATAGTACAAGGTTGTACAGAACTGAACAGAGACGTGTAGAGGTGTAGAAAGTCTTTAAGAATAGAACAAGGTTGTACTGAACTGAACAGAGACGTGAAGAGGTGTAGAGAGTCTTAAAGAATAATACACGGTTGTACAGAACTGAACAGAGACGTGTAGAGGTGTAGAAAGTCTTTAAGAATAGTACAAGGTTGTACAGAACTGAACAGAGACGTGTAGAGGTGTAGAGAGTCTTAAAGAATAGTACAAGGTTGTACAGAACTGAACAGAGACGTGTAGAGGTGTAGAAAGTCTTTAAGAATAGTACAAGGTTGTACAGAACTGAACAGAGATGTGTAGAGGTGTAGAGAGTCTTTAAGAATAGTACACGGTTGTACAGAACTGAACAGAGACGTGTAGAGGTGTAGAAAGTCTTTAAGAATAGTACAAGGTTGTACAGAACTGAACAGAGACGTGTAGAGGTGTAGAGAGTCTAATAGAACAGTACACGGTTGTACAGAACTGAACAGAGACGTGTAGAGGTGTAGAAAGTCTTTAAGAATAGTACAAGGTTGTACAGAACTGAACAGAGACGTGTAGAGGTGTAGAGAGTCTTAAAGAATAGTACACGGTTGTACAGAACTGAACAGAGACGTGTAGAGGTGTAGAAAGTCTTTAAGAATAGTACAAGGTTGTACAGAACTGAACAGAGGCGTGAAGAGGTGTAGTAGAGTGTAGAAAGTCTTTAAGAATAGTACAAGGTTGTACAGAACTGAACAGAGACGTGTAGAGGTGTAGAAAGTCTTTAAGAATAGTACACGGTTGTACAGAACTGAACAGAGACGTGTAGAGGTGTAGAAAGTCTTTAAGAATAGTACAAGGTTGTACAGAACTGAACAGAGACGTGTAGAGGTGTAGAGAGTCTTTAAGAATAGTACAAGGTTGTACAGAACTGAACAGAGACGTGTAGAGGTGTAGAAAGTCTTTAAGAATAGTACAAGGTTGTACAGAACTGAACAGAGACGTGTAGAGGTGTAGAGAGTCTTAAAGAATAGTACACGGTTGTACAGAACTGAACAGAGACGTGTAGAGGTGTAGAAAGTCTTTAAGAATAGTACAAGGTTGTACAGAACTGAACAGAGACGTGTAGAGGTGTAGAAAGTCTTTAAGAATAGTACACGGTTGTACAGAACTGAACAGAGACGTGTAGACAAGTAAACTTCCTATGGTATCTATGATAGTTCACGTCAGAGGTGCAGTGTTGCAGAAGAAAGTTAATGGTTCCGCCATATACGATGGGCATTGACTGTTCAGTTGTATAGTGCACCAGTTAATTTTGAACTAATGTTTGTGGACATGTAAAAAACAAACTGGGTGCAAGAGGAGTGGTTAAGTTCAGGTACAATCTTACATAAAATGAATGAACTTGTGTGATTTTTATGAATGTAAAAGTAGTTCCGAATCAACATGCTATGTTGGCGTGACCATGATTATCCAATAAAACCACATGAATTAAGGGTTAACCCCATACAACACATGTCGACCTTGTATGTCAATCTTACCATTGATTTGTTCACCATGTGGTTAACAAAGAGTTGTACAGAGTTGTACAGTGCTATCATGAGTCATACAGACAGACCAAGGACTATCACAATCAGTGCAAACCAGGGAGATGAGCAACGACCAGTGGTTATGAGCTTGTACTATACACCACTGGGCAATCAATTAGAAATATAAAACCAAAGGAAAAGCTGTGAGACAATCCCAAACACCCGTCGTACCTGCATAATAGTGGTGAACTGGGAGCCATTCTCCACCTGTTCAGACTGGTTGTTGAGAGTCGAAATGGCTGACCTCTTGAAAAAGTACCGCCAGTTGTTCATCATCAATTCATGGAGCAGTTCATATAATACTGACTTGATGTCGGGGGCTGGTCTCTGGAACAACATGGAAGATGCACATCGTTGTATACTGTTGTCTGTGTATGTAGCCATGGATTGTTGTACACTGTTGTCTGTGTATGTAGCCATGGATTGTTGTACACTGTTGTCTGTGTATGTAGCCATGGATTGTTGTACACTGTTGTCTGTGTATGTAGCCATGGATTGTTGTACACTGTTGTCTGTGTATGTAGCAATGGATTGTTGTACACTGTTGTCTGTGTATGTAGCAATGGATTGTTGTACACTGTTGTCTGTGTATGTAGCCATGGATTGTTGTATACTGTTGTCTGTGTCTGTAGCCATGGATTGTCGTATACTGTAGTCTGTGTCTGTAGCCATGGATTGTTGTACACTGTTGTCTGTATGTAGCCGTGGATTGTTGTACACTGTTGTCTGTATGTAGCCATGGATTGTTGTACACTGTTGTCTGTGTATGTAGCCATGGATTGTTGTACACTGTTGTCTGTGTATGTAGCCATGGATTGTTGTACACTGTTGTCTGTGTATGTAGCCATGGATTGTTGTATACTGTTGTCTGTGTATGTAGCCATGGATTGTTGTACACTGTTGTCTGTGTATGTAGCCATGGATTGTTGTACACTGTTGTCTGTGTATGTAGCCATGGATTGTTGTACACTGTTGTCTGTGTATGTAGCAATGGATTGTTGTATACTGTTGTCTGTATGTAGCCATGGATTGTTGTACACTGTTAACATCTGTATGTATGTAGCAATGGATTGTTGTACACTGTAGTCTGTGTCTGTAGCCATGGATTGAGGAGAAATTGTGCAATGCTATACTGTAGATCTGATGTCTGAAATATACTGAGTATTTGAGGGAGAAAACGTCGCTGTATTATAGGGTAGATCTGATCCAGAAATATACTGAGTATTTGAGGGAGAAACGCGATGCGGTGCTATTATAGGGTAGATCTGATCCAGAAATATACTGAGTATTTGAGGGAGAAAGCGTGCTATTATAGGGTGGTGCTATTATAGGGTAGATCTGATCCAGACATATACTGAGTATTTGAGGGAGAAAAGCGTGCGGTGCTATTATAGGGTAGATCTGATCCAGAAATATACTGAGTATTTGAGGGAGAAGCGTGATCGGTGCTATTATAGGGTAGATCTGATCCAGAAATATACTGAGTATTTGAGGGAGAAACGTACCGGTGCTATTATAGGGTAGATCTGATCCAGAAATATACTGAGTATTTGAGGGAGAAACGTACCGGTGCTATTATAGGGTAGATCTGATCCAGACATATACTGAGTATTTGAGGGAGAAACGTAGCGGTGCTATTATAGGGTAGATCTGATCCAGAAATATACTGAGTATTTGAGGGAGAAACGTACCGGTGCTATTATAGGGTAGATCTGATCCAGACATATACTGAGTATTTGAGGGAGAAACGTAGCGGTGCTATTATAGGGTAGATCTGATCCAGACATATACTGAGTATTTGAGGGAGAAAGGATTTGAAGGATGAACTTGGTTCCTGGACAATGAGCTGAAGGATTTTCAAAAACCTGCAAGTAAAACAAACATCAAAATTGTTTAACAGTATCGTATAATAAAGAGCAAGGTGTCACATGAAAACACTTCTGATCCATAACAGTGTTATACAACACAATTCAACAACTACAAAACACAACACCTTTACTGTGTGATTATGAAAACTCTATAGCCCTTGATTCCTGACTCAGACACAGAACATGGACCAGTCATTTGTAAAATAGTATGATGTCTTTATGTCTTGGTAATACAAGGAGACCTTCTGCTCTCCAAGCAGACTCTCTACCCACAACACCATGAAGGCGGTTCCATCTGGACTGAGGACAGTTAGGTCATAATGTGTATCACTTGACTCTTACTTTTCTATAACTCTGAATCCTGTTGAGCTTTCCTGGTTTATTGTCTCAGCAAGTTGTTCCCTGCAGAAACATACGAGTACAGTTGAAAACACAACAAAGTGTAACACTTATTACACTCCACTAATGACGAAATGAAGACATATCTACACTGAAGAAATGGCATGACTTAACAGAGGGAAAATGCCTTCGCTTAAAATGCAAACTTTTAGCACAATCTCTTAACATCTGCCATACATGTGCATTAGTTTCATAAAATGGTCTCTTCACCTGATGGCCACAATATTCGAACAAACCTGTAGCGGTTGATGATTCTTTGAATAGAGTGCTCCTTGGAGTACTTATAAGCATTTTCATGTCCATTAAAAATTCCTACGACAGTTGTAACTATATTTTGAACAAGCATTGTCACTAAGGTGACATAATCCCCCCGCCGCAAATTATCAAATCAAACTTAAAAAGTAATGAAAGTTTAAGATGAAGCTAAATGTCAACAAAAACATGATCAGTCAACCTCTCTTGATATCTTGCTCTTTAGTTGTTCAAACACACAAATATTTTCAAGACTGACTTTGACCTTGACATGAATGTCATTGTGTATGAAAATGGCACTAAAGAAATTGCTTATTGAAAAACATTCAAGGGAAGTCTTGAAAGTCTATGAAGAAAATCCAGTGAATTCAGGTTAAGATGCTGAAATCTTCAAAGTGTCACACTGACCTTGAAAATTATGTGAAGGTCACCAAAATTGACTGGGCCCTGCGCCTTTTTAGATGAAGCTTGGTGCCACATATGAAAACAATCCAGTGAATAGTTTTTGAGATATCTTGCTGACTATCTTAACATGCAATTTAACATGCTGAAATCTTCAGTGTCTTTGTGACCTTGAAAATTATGTGAAGGTCACCAAAATCGACTAGGCCTTGCACTTTCCCTAGATGAAGCTTGGTGTCAAATATGAAGAAAGTCCAGTGAATGGTTCTTGAGGTATCTCGCTGACAAGCATAACATGCAGGTTAATATGCTTAAATCTTCAAAGTGTCGCCATGACCTTGAAAATTATGTGAAGGTCACCCAAATCGACTGGGCCCTGCGCCTTCCCTAGATGAAGCTTGGTGTTGAATATGAAGAAAGTCCAGTGAATGGTTCTTGAGATATCTCGCTGACAAGGGTAAAACGTTAAAGTCCCCTTGTGACCTTGAAATGAAGGTCAAGGTCACCCAACCTGACTGGGACCTTTCTTTTACTGTGATGAACCTAGGTACGAAATATGAAAAGAATCTAGTCAACGGTTCTTAAGATATTCCAATGTGATGAACGCAGGTCCCACGGATGAAAATAATCTAGTATCTTAAGATATTCCAACTGCAAACGGCGATACTATAACTAAAATATTTACAAAACAAAAACAATGTTTTTGTCTTATTGGATCACACCCTACCGAGCCCAGAATGGACCCGTCCGCCAAGAACAAGTAACTCTAGGCGCTCTCCTCGTACCTCACTTTCCATGCTGAACGTTATCAGACAGAATGTGAGGGGAGGCGGGTGGCCCGACCCCAAGGAGGACTCTCTTCAAATCTTCAAAGAATCATCAACCTCTACAGGTTTGTTTGATTCTTTTTCATAAGAGATCCTCCATGGGGTACTTATAAGCATAAGACACACTCCTACAGACCAGAGTCCGGGAGTGGCATTCTGTCAATTGACCATAAACCCTGTGAAACAAGTGGAATTCCCCAGTCTAAAAATAGATGAAATTCACACTTACCCAATCACCTGTCCATAATCTGCCGGAAGGGCAAGTGCAAGGCTAGGCACAAGGGTCGGACAAAAGGTACGCTCATAAGTACTACGGAATTATGTCAGCGAAAAATACCCACCCTCTTCCCAATTTGGCAGAGGACAATAGGTACATACACCAAATATCATCATAGGCCAAGATTTCAATGGACTAAAGTCATGATCAGTGCGCTGAGATCGTTGCGCTGAGATTGGTGCGCTCTAACCGTGTGAGCTTTCAATCCCTCAGGAGGAGTTAGCCCTTTATGTAGATAACCCATACAAATGGCAGAGACATGCCACCTAGAAATGGTTTGCTTATTCGCCGGAAGGCCAGCCTTACCCCCACCGTAACAGCAGAACAATTGATTATCCTTGCGAATAGCTTTCGTTCCTTTGATATAAGACCAGAGGGACTTACGCACATCAAAGACGTGAGCAAGTCGAAGAGAGGTACCCGGTCGAAGAGAGGTACCCTGGTAACTCAATAGGCGCTGCAACATGAAAGGCGCTGTCTCTCTTAGGACTGTAAGAGTCTGGTAATCTAATACTAACGCTGTCTTTATGAACGACGGTGAGTTCAGGATCGGCAGACATAGCATGAATGTCGCCTACCCGTCTACCAGACGTTACCGCCACAAGAAAAGCAGCCTTCCACGTTAACAGCTGGAGGGAAAGAGCCGACAGGTTATGAAAAAGAGGACCGGACAGCCAATCAAGAACGACTGACAAATCCCACGGGGACTAATTTGCCGGACAGCCAGACGGATCCTGTCCACACTTGCTAAGAAACGCTGTACAAGAGGGTGCTGCCCCAAAAGTGCACCCGTCGACAGGCACGTGAAACGCCGAAACAGCTGTTGAGTAACCATGTATGGTTGAAGCAGCGAGACCGGCTTGCAACTTAGACTGAAGAAACTCAAGTAATACAACTGAATCTGCAGAAAAGGGATCAAGAATCCCCCTGCCGACACACCAGCATGCATAGCAGGTCCATCTATCCTCATATTGAACGTTTGTCAAATCCCTCCACGAAGCCAGAATTGTGTCTGCAACTGATGCAGGAATTCCACTCGCTTGGAGGCGATTCTGGACAGCGGCCAGGCCACCCACTGAATCCTGGGATTCGGGTGCGGCGCTCCATTCTGGTACAGTAAGTCCGGTCGAAAGGGTAATAGTACAGGAGGCAGAGCCAGAAACCTGATGATTACCGGAAACCAGCTTTGAGCCGACCAAAGGGGTGCAAGGAGCACAAGTAGCCAAGCTGGCTGGGTGGCTAGCTGCAACAGGACCGTGGGAATTAATGGTACTGGTGGAAACGCTCACAGAACCATTCCCGTCCAATCGAAGCTGGAAGGTGTTGTTGGCTACCGCTCTCGGATCCGGAATCTGAGAGCAAAACACTGGTATCTGATTCGTTTCCCCAGAGGCAAACAGATCCACCTGGAACAAACCGTACAACTGGGAGATAACCTCAAATCAAATATTCCCCGATCCAACATCCATTTGTGTGGGGCTAGAATATGACGAGAGCAGCGCATCTGCTCAAATGTTGTCTATGCCTGGGAGATAAACGGGTACTACCCGTATGTCGTACTGATCGCACCACAGTAGAAACTGCCATGCCTCCTGCAGGAGGGACGGAGACACCGTGCCGCCTTGCTTGAGGATGTCTGCTTGTCCATTTCTAGACGAACCACTTGGCCGTGAACCTGTTCCACAAAGCTGTCGAACACCAACCGGACTGCTCTCAATTCCAACACGTTTATGTGTAGACGGGACTCAGTCTCCGACCACAGGCCTGAGGCTGACTGATCCCCTAGGACACCGGCCCAACCCGCCCTGATGTCTGTCCACCACCTCAGGTGAGGAATCAACCACTCCGGCAAATCGAGAAGTGTCTCGTAGCTTTCGGAGTGGGACCACAGCTGTGCAGGAGCTTGCTGTATGGGTCTCATCCTCAACCACGCACGCCAAACTACGTCCACCGTTGCCGCCATGGTGCCTAGCAATCGAAGCCATGTCCGAGCCAAGGCCCTATGGGACTGGAGAAATTGTTAGACAGTCCTCTGGAGTTTGACAATGTGATCTTGTGACAGGGAAACAATACCCACGTTGGTATTGAACCATGCCCCCAAGAACAAGGTCTGATTTCTTAGATTGATGATCCAGCCCAGCTTGATAAGGATCTCCATCACTGTGCGTGGTATCCTGACTGAACTGCTGGCCTAGCGCCCTGAGAAGCCAGTGGTCGAGGTATGGGTGACAAAACCAACCCTGTGATCTGGCTAACTGAGCTGGAATCAACATGAGTTTGGTGAACACCCTTGGTGCCGTAGAGATGCCGAAGGGGAGCACACGAAACTGGTAGCACTGCCCGTTGAAGGAGAACCTGAGGTACTTCTTGGGGTGCATTGGAACATGCAGGAAGGCGTCTTTGAGGTCGATTGATGTCTCTACGGATGAGATCACTGAGCGCAGTGTCTCCATCCGAAAAGACGGTGCCTGAATAAGTTTGTTCAGGCCCCTGAGATTGAGAACGGGTTTGAACCTTCTGTCCTTCTCGGTCACTATGAATTACATAAAAACCCTAGTTTTCGTGACCGTCGGGAACCACTTCGATGGCTGCCTTGTCTAGCAACGCTAAGACCTCGGCAACGGAGAATGTCCGCCTTCTCCTTGGAGGCTGGCACTGGTGTGTGACGTTCTCCGGTGAAGGGCGTTGGGTGTCTCTTCCACTGCGGTAAATGGCCATCCCTGAGTGTGGACAGGACCCAGGGATTTGAAGTGGCTATCTCCAATTCCCAAAGGAAGAGGGAGAGCTGGCCGCCGACAGGGACGCTTGGTAGAAGGCAATGTACCCCCGCACTCTGCAACGTTACGCTTGCTTGAACGGGGGACACCAAGGGCATCGTCGGGGAGAATAAAGGGAAGCAGGGGCTGACTTCCCCTTTCCCCGAAAAGGCTGCTGCGACCCAGTCGCCTTACACCTGCCTTTACCTTTCCTGTTCTTCCGTGACTGTAATGGAGCCGCCCATTTTGCAGTCTCCTTCACCGGCGCCTAAGGATAGGAAGATGACAGGACCGAGGGACGCTGACGAGATGTGGATGGCTGTTCTAGCAAGGGTTTAGAGTCCTTGAACGTAGAAACAGCCTCAGCGGCCTCCCGGACTACTCTAAGGGCTCCCGGGAAAAGGGAAGAACCCATCTTATACGGGAGGGAGAGTAGCCCTTGCTGTGTGGATGGCGAGTAGCGTGCTACCGCCAACCACAAACGACGCAAGCCCATCACCAAGACATCTGACTAGCGCAAATGCATAAACAGTCCCTGGCCAAGTGAGAATGCACTTCAGCTGCAGCTGAAAAAATGAAGATATATCATCGAATGTTAATGTAGGTGGAACAACAGCAAGATGTGGATGGTGTGGGGGAAGGTACAGCAACAACTGAGGGGGAAGACTCATTAGAAACCTTAGCCTTCTTCCCGCCAGCTTCAGCAGAATCCAGGGAAGCCGAAGAAGAGGACTTCCTCTTAGAATGCTTTTTGGAGGGAGGATCCTGAGCCCAAATGTTGCCCCCTGCCCTGAGTAGCTTAGAGTAATACATGTAGTCGGTGCGCCGCTTGTGCTGAGTCTTAGGTGTAAAACCCTGACACAGAGCATTGTTGGTCATCATGCCCTTCTTCAACCAGACATCTCAGACAAACCTCGTGTGAGTCTTGAGGCGGTAGGACTGAACTGCACGACATGCAGTTTTTAAACTGCAAAAGTTAACAGATAACCAATACCAAATGCTAAAGTGTAAACACTTAAACAAGGGGTACAACGTAAGCATGGGTGATAAACTATACAGCATACAATACAAAACATAGTATGTAACCCATAATTCCAAGAAAAATATGAACTTGGAAGCGTACGTAAAATAAAGGTACCTGAGGCCAACGTACGCCCCGAACAGCAATGTACATACAAGCAATAAAATGTGGAAAAACACATTTATACAAAAAACGGGAAGCAACCTTAATAATCAGCCCGTAAACACACAGGTAAAAAGCCAAAGCTTAACCTACATGTACATATAGCAGCCGTCATCTTGTTGGCCATATGGCCAGAAGACATGGCAATAAAGTTACAACAAAGATGAATGAAACTTCACGCAAACAGACTAAATTTACCACCCATGCGATAAAAAAAAGAAAGTAACGATACATACAGTATTGGAATCGGAGCACTCATCTTAGGAATTCACTTGTAAACAAGTAATGGAGCCCACACGTCTTCACAAGGGAACGACAGCATGGAAAGTGAGGTACGAGGAGAGCGCCCAGAGTTACCTGTTCTTGGCGGACGAGTCCATTCTGGGCTCGGTAGGAGTGGTCCAATAAGATGAAAACGTTTTTGTTTTGTAAATATTTTACAACTGTCGTAGAAATTTTTAATGGACATAAAAATGCTTATAAGTACCCCAAGGAGGATCTCTTATGAAAAAAGAATTATAACTTCACTACTGAATACTTACTAAAGTAAAGACTCCACAGACAATGACTCAACCCAATAACTACTAACATGTCTAAGGCTCATAACGTGTGTCAGGAATGTCTTTGTATGTGGCAATAGATGTATCAGTATATTTCAATGTCAATGATGATTAAATTTACATTTATCAAGATTATTGTGTTTATGACAGACATATGACAAGGCAAACAACTGAAAATATACATCATTCATGGGTCAGTCTTATTTAAAGTATCCATAGACTAAAACAGTTTATAATTTTCAATTCATTGATGCATACTGATACTTTTGAGTTTATAGATTAGCTCCCCCCGTGAAGGTCCGGGTTAGAATATTGATCTTCAGTAACCCATGCTTGTCGTAAGAGGCGACTAACGGGATCGGGTGGTCAGGCTCGCTGACTTAGTTGACACATGTCATTGTATCCCAATTGCGTAGATCGATGTTCATGCTGTTGATCCCTGGATTGTCTGGTCCAGACTCGATTATTTACAGACTGCCACCATATTAAGCTGGAATATTGCTGAGTGCGGGGCGTAAAACTAAACTACTCATTATATATTAGCTGCCATATAGCTGGAATATAGCTAGGTGCAGTGTTAAACACCAAACAAACTATATATTAATCAGATGAAAGGACCACTGAAAATAAGTGATGACACCAGGTGTTCATATCAGTGTGAGTGCAGGAGATGACTACCTGGAGAAGAGGTTCATGAACGTCCTTATCGCCTGTTCCGTGAAAGGGACTCCCATCTGAACCCGTAAACCTTGAAAAAGTGCTAGGAAGAAACTCATAATGTCATCGACTACATCTGCAAATAAAAAGGAAAAACCCAGGGGTAACACAACAAGATTAGGTATCTCTGCGTTTTTAGGCACATCATGGTATGTTTACGCAAGGCTTAATCTGCACTGTTACTGCATGGCCAGTTACACATGGCCAGTCTACAGAGTTTGTGCATAAATTTCAATCTAATGATGCAAAATGACAGAATAAGGTAAGGTACAGCTAGCCAAAGTATTTATAAGGCTGGGTTATTGTAAAACTAATAATGACTACTCATATAAAATTATCTGACTGGCTAGTCACTGTCTGTCCAGTACAAGTCTGCCTACATGGACATTATTGCATCATCTGCTTGATCACATTCAGTTACCATACCAAATCCTTGTAAGGCACATCATACATTGCAATGCCAATATGTTCACCAAAAACAAATCCTCAGTTTAGACAATTTCTTGTGTATCATTGTGTACAAGCCAATCCAACTTGTACAACCAGCAACCAGCTACTGATACACTATAAGTGGTCTGGTTCTCGTAAGTACATCAGACCATGTAGCAGTGTCACCCGAGCGGTAGGCACCGAGGGATGACACTGCTACAAAGAGCCGTACATCAGACCATATTAACCGAGGGAGAAGTGTACAACGTATTTATCTTACCACCATGTTGAATGTACATAATATCATTTTATTGTATTTTGAAGATTGATAAGCTCGCTACCGACTATATGATAAGTAAACAAAATGGCATCTACCCCTCGAGTGGATTTTTTAAATCAGTGAAACATATTCTCACAATCTTAAAACTGCTATAAAAATGATTTAGATAAACCTGTAGAGGTTTCCAATTCTTTGAAGTAAGAGAGTCGTCCTTGGGGTACATATATGCATTAACACAGACTCCCAAAGACCAGAGGCTAGGGAGGAGGGAATTCTGTCACAGTACAAAGAGATAGCGATCACGTAAACAAAAGTTACCTACGTCACAACACTCACCTGGCATGTGTCCCGAAGCTTCCGCGAGAGGCATTATGGGAGGTGACCCAACAGGGAGGAAACGTACTGAGGACCGACCTCAACATGCTAAGCATTAAAACACATAACATAGTGTGTACATAAAACCCCGCCCACTTAGTGAAATCTCTAGAGAGCACTGTAAGGGGGAACCACAACTCACAACCGAATATCTCAACCGAGACAGTGAATATTGTCGAAAAATCAACAGCGGATAAGTCAATTAAAACAACAATTGAATGCAGCGTCACTATAAAACCAAATAACCAAGACTCACTCGGTCAGGGTGGCAGGACACTGTCCACCGGAGAGAACAGAATGGGAATGTGTATCAAGCTGATAGTGCCGTATAAAAGTGCTAGGCCGGCTCCAAATAGCGGCAGAGCAAATCTCTTCGATGGGCAGTGCCGCTGCAAAAGCTTTTGAAGTGGCTACTGCCCTGATCGAATGAGCTTTCAACCCCTCAGGGGGAGGCTTGCCCTTAGCCTGTTACGCAGCACAAATGACCGACACAAGCCAGCGAGAAAGTGTCTGTTTGCTGGCAGGAGCCCCAGCCTTCCCGCCTTTGTAACAGCAGAACAGATGGGAACCGTACGGATCCCTTGTGTTTGTTTGATATAGACCTTGTGGTTCTTACGGACGTCCAACGGTTGAGTGCTCGTTGCAGAGGTCCCCGATGTGGAAGGCTGGGTAAGTGTAGGAAGTTCGATAGGAGCTGTCACATGGAAAGCGTGATCGATCTTCGGACGATAACTATCCGGGAGGTGAATACTGATGCGATCGGGATGGAACACAGTCAGTGCCGGGTCTGCAGACATGGCATGAAAATCACCTACCCTTCTCCCAGATGTCACCGCCACCAGAAAAACGGCCTTCCAGCTGAATGGAAATAGCCGATAGACGTGAGAAAGTAGGACCGGACAGCCAATCTAGCACGATTGACAAATCCCAAGGTGGGCTGGTATGCCTGAAAGGTCGAATCCGATCCATGCCAGCTAAGAGGAGCTGCAGAAGAGGGTGCTGCCCAGAAAGAGCACCATCGACAGGGGTGTGAAAGGTAGAAATAGCGGTGGAGTAGCCACGAATGGTCGAAGCAGCCAAGCCTTCTTCCAAACAAGACTGCAGAAACTCCAAAACTCAGACTAAATCCGCAGAAAAGGGATCTGCAATTCCCCTATCTGAACACCAGCGCGCATAGTGGACCGCCTATCCTCGTACTGAACATTTGTCGAATCCCGCCTCGAAGCCATTATTGTGTCTGCAACTGCTGCAGGAATTCCACATGCTTTGAGGCTAGACCTGACAGAGGCCAAGCCACCAACTGAATCCGTGGATTGGGGTGTGGCAGCGCCGTTCTGAGTGAGAATGTCCGGTCGTAAGGGTAATAGAAACCAGAAACCAGAGCCAGAAACCTGAGAATTACCGGAAACCAGCTCTGTGACGGCCAAAGCAGTGCCAGAAGCACAAGTAGCCGAGCTGGCTGGGTGAACAGCTGGGAGAGGACCCGGGGAATGAGTGGTAGTGGCTGGAACGCCCACAGCACCTTGCCCGTCCAATCTAGTAGGAAGGCGTAGGAAGCCAACACCCTCTGGTCCAGAAAATGGGGATCTGATTCGTCCCGCCAGACGCAAACAGATCCACCTGGAACGAACCCGTACAACTGGAAGATAACTCCGAATATCTGCCGATCGAGCATCCACTTCGTGCGTGGCCAGGATCTGGCGAGAGAGCACATCTGCTCGCACGTTCTCTAGCCCCGGGAGATAGACAGGAATCACCTGACAGTCGCACTGGTCGCACCAGAGGAGAACTAAGGACACTGTGCCGCCTTGCTTCAGGATGTGCGTCATGGCCGTACGGTTGTCTAACTGAAGATGAACCACCTGGCCCTGAACAGCGCTCGAAAACCAACTGCACAGCTCTCAGTTCTAAGACATTGATGTGAAGACTGTCTTCAGCTTCGGACCAGAGTCCGGACACTGACAGACTGCCCAGAACACTCCCCCAGCCCGAGAGGGATTCATCCGTTTGAACTGTAAGAGCTGGTGTCGGGAGTTCCAAAGGGACCCCTTTGGAGAGATTCCCGACGTTGGTCCACCACTGAAGGTGAGGAGACAACCACCCGGGGACTGTGAGACACTTCTCCAGATCCTCTGAGTGGGCCCACATACTCACCAAACCTTGCTGTATAGGGCGCATCCTCAATCGTGCTCGCCAGCACGACAGAGACGGTCACCGCCATATGACCCAGCAGACGGAGCCAAGTCCGTGCCGGCGCCTGGGGCTGGTAGAGGAACAAAGACACCATCTCCCGTACTTTGGTGATCTGGTCGGGTGACAGAGACACAAGACCTTGTTGAGTTGTGAACCGTGCCCCGAGAAAAACCAAGTCCTGGGTTGGTACCAGGTCGGATTTCTTGAGGTTGATGATCCACCCCGTCGAACTAGAATGTCTATCACCGTGTGAGTAGAATCTAGACTCGCTGGCTGAGTTAGTGCGCGCAGCAACCAGTCGTCCAGGTAAGGGTGACCATGCCTTCCTTGCGGATGCGCGAGAGTAGCCGGCACTAACATGAGCTTGGTGAACACCCTGGGGACAGTAGATATGCCGAAGGGGAGCACCCTGAACTGATAAGACATCCCGTCGTAAGAGAACCGGAGATACTGCTTGAATGTGGGATGAATAGGCACATGTAGATACGCATCCTTGAGATCGATCGATGTGAGCCAATCGCTGGGCTGAACAGAGGAGATCACCGAGCGAAATGTCTCCATCTTGAAGAATGGAACCTCTAACATGCGATTCAACCCCTTGAGGTTGAGAATGGGACGGAACCTGCCGTCCTTCTTCGGTACGAGGAAGTACGTGGAATAAAACCCTGCCTGTTCCTCTCCCGGTGGTATGCGCTCTATTGCGGACTTGTCCAGCAAAGCCTGACCGGACATGACGGCACCGGAGTGCGCCTTATGACGGTAAACTCTGGCGGACAAGCTTCCACAGCAGTAGATGGCTGACACTTACGGTGGACAGCACCCAAGAGTTGTGTGTAGCCTTCTCCCACTCCGGAAGGAATAGAGAGAGGCAGCCTCCCACTGGGATATGTGGTAAGAGAGCGTGAGTAGTCCCCTGCAGCTGAACTGGCTGGGACATATCCGCTGGAGCAGCCTGCACATCTAATGGGAGGTCGGGGCTGACCCCCTGCGACTTTGAAAAGGCTGCTGGGAGCCAGACGAAGAAGCCTGCTCCTTACCCTTACCCTTGGTGGGACGGCTCCTCCTCCTACCCCTGCCAAGCGTCCGAAGCCAACCTGCAGACTCGGGCGTAGGCTGCGCCCCGGAGGAAGAGCTGGCCGCAGGAGCACGGGGGCGAGAAACCCGCGGTTGCTCCAACAAGGCCTTGGAGTCCTTGAAGAAAGTAGCTGCAGCAGCAGCCTCCCGTATTACCTGCTGAGCCCCCGGAAACAACGCCGCACCCAGCCGAACTGCCGAGTAGCGTGAGGTCGACAACCACAGCTCGCGCATCCCCATGACTGCACACATCACCGTCGACGCAGCGGACCGTAACAAGTCCCTGGTCAGGTGGGCCTGTACCTCGGTAAGTTGACGGAGGAGAACAACATGAGGTGATACGTCACCCGTGCCTGCCTCCGCTTCCAGGGCCGACCTCTGAATCAAGGAGAGGTACGCCCCATGGACCACAACCCATACCTGTTGCATAGCATTCAGATAAACATCCTCCTAGGTTCGGTATGCTTGCCGCAGAGGGGCGCCTGACTGGGCAAAAGGTGGAACCAAACGCCCTTGTTTGGCAGCCGGAGCTGAACCCGAGGAAGCCGAGCCTCCCCCAAGGGCGACCGAGGTAAAAACACAATCGTCCACCACCGGAACCAGGAAGAGGGACTCATCGCCCAGCTGATACCGCTTCACAAGTTAGGGAAAATTGAACTCCAGCTGAGAGCAAGCTAGCAACGGATCCACAACATCCTGAATCAGTGAGGGGAAAACGTGGAGCTGCGTCTGTGAAGGCTGCCAAGGAGCAAACGCCTCACCCGGCAGGTGGAACTCAGACGAGTCCTGACAGCTAGTCATTACCACAGCTTGGGGTAACATCTGCGAAATGCGCTGACACTCGGGACACTCTCCGCTCCGGACGCAGGAGGTAGCCCAGACAGAACTGGCTCCTCCGCTCTCAAGGGGAAAGGGTGAAGAGGGGGCGGAACACCAGGAATACCAGAGTTCATTGAATGAATGACATATCAAATTGTGGAGATTCTTTCGAACCCTTGGTTTTAGAAGGATTTTTAGCCTTTTTAGACTTGGATGGGGGCATTTCCTCGGCCGGGTGCCCTCCCACCTCCCTCAATTCTCTGTAGAAGAGGAAATCAGCAGCCCTTCTCTTCTGGGCACGGGGGTAGAAACCCATACAAAGCTTGCATACGTCAGGGTTATGCCCAGCCTTTTAAGACAACATAAGCACTTTTCATGCTTATCTTGCTGCGGCAACATGAGCCCACAGGCAATGCACGCCGTAAATTGCCTGAGAGCAAACACGCAAAGCACTTAGCTAACGGTGAAATACAACAGCAAAATACACATAGAAAACTCCACGTGGTGGGGGCCGTATAATAAATAAAAGTTTTTTATTTATTGTACAATATTTTTATTAAAACATTGATACAACTGTCACGTGACATTTTCAGCCGCAGAAAATGCATATATGTACCCCAAGGACGATCACTATGAAAAAGATAATTATGTTTAAGTTGAGTGTGCAAACGATTCAATGTAAAAAATAAATGAAATAAAGCAGTGAAAGTCAGTAAATAAATATGTATTTTCTGAACTAAAAAACTCCGTACACTGCATGCATCATATTATGACGTCATATGATTGTTAGCGACACTGCTTCTTGGCAGAGAGTTTGCAGGTTACCGTGGCAGCGAGTAATATTTTTTCCAGTTGTCACCCTCCTGGGAGGGGTGACACGGAAATGTGTTAAAGCGTCATTGACCAATGAAATTAAAGTATTTTACATGAAGGTAAGATAAATATCTCTGAATACTGTACTAAAACATGGTCCAAGGCACAGGTGGGTGTACATACTGTGTTTTGCTAGGAATAAATCTGCAATGACTGATGCAGCAGTGAAACACAGCTGACACACATAATGTGTGACAACCTAAATGACTGCACTGGTTTGTCTGTCTGTGACAGCTAACGCACTGCAGCAAGTACGAGTAAGGTTTTCTTTATGCACCAGTCAGCTTTATATTTTCACTAAACCGTGGGGGCCTCCAAATGATGATAAGTCTTGATGAGGCAGAGCATGACATCATGCCTCAGAATTCCCCTTGAGAGAGAATCAAGGGCTACCGGGCCCCTGTCTTGCTTCAGAATCCCTGCAGAGACACAAGGTTGGGGTGCTGTGAAGCTATTCGATGTGGTCACTGTGAGTATAGATTATGTTAAAGCCACTGACCTGTCTGTTGTATATATATGGGGAAGATAGTAAGTGTCATCTGTATTGACTCCTGAAGCGACTGGTAGCAGATCTGCTTGGATTTCACCACTTCTCCGGCTAATGACTCGATCAAATCTTGCATGATCTGTAATGTCACCCTGATCACAGGCTTGACTGGAAGGAGGAAAGTAATAAAAGTTTCACTGCCAGTGGAAAACAAAGACATCAAGAAGAGTTTTGACATTGATCCAGATTTCAGCTGCCTCTCACAACAGTGTACTGGGGAACTCGTTTGTTTGTTCATTCGTTTGTGAGTTTAGTTTTACACCGCACTCAGCTATATGGTGAAGGTCTGTAAATAATTGAGTCTGGACCAGACAATCCAGTGATCAACAGCATGAGCATCATTCTATGCAAGTGGGATACAATGACATGTGTCAACCAAGTCAGTTAGCCTGACCTCCTGATCACGTTAGTCGCCTCTTACGACCAGCATGGGTTACTGAAGATCAATTTGAACCGGATCTTCATGGGTCGGGTTCAAAATGAGGACTGTAATATCGATAGCCTATAAATTCCTACATAGAAACAAATAAATGAATGAAAACCCAGCACAAACTCCCTTTGGCACTTTTAACAAAGGGCAGATCAATTCAGATGAGTGTGAGCAGGAAATCAATGAATGTGCAGGAAATCAATGAACGTGAATTCTTGCTGTAGAACTTTATTGTCTGCCAGGTCTGCCATTGTTTTGACCTGAATGTAGCGTGCGGTGAGAGACTGTATAAAACTCTGATGATGTGACGCTCTGTTCACCCAGTTCTGCTCGGAGTCTGGTAATCCCGGCCAGGGTAGCAACAGATAGTGGGACAACGACCGGCACATTAGCAGCTGGATCTGTCAACACACACACAACACCACTGCTGTAACACACAAACACAAATTCCCTCATTCTTATAATGGATCTCCAGAAAAGACTGATACTGAAGCAGTTTTAGTTTCAACAGCTTAATACCAGACCAAGATCATGAAATCAAAATAGCAGTTTCACCCAGCAGCATCTTACATCAGTAAGCATGTGGTCTCTCACAAGCAAAATTCATAGCTTGACCAAGGCATACATCCCAGCTCCACCTAGTCAATATATAATGGTGGTCCAGGGAACTCACTGCCAACTGTAGGGTTCCCAAGTTGATATATTGGGATGCCAGAGAAATGTTATTCTCCACAAGTGACATAACATTGCACATATTTCATTTGTTCTAACTGGTACCAAATTATCAAACTGCAGTTTTCATTCCTAAATATGTTGTTTTCCATCCCAGTGGAATCACTGTTTTTCATCTATTTGTAATATACGGTTTTGCATCTGTTGATCATACCCTTCAAATAAAGAACCTGGCATACTAGTAACCAACATGACATCCTTTGCCCTGAAATGGGAATACACTGTTTTAACTGGCATGCTGGACAGAAGCAAATAACATACCTCCTGCTTGAGAGACGTGAAGGCTCCCTGACTGGCCATGTTGTACAGGGTCTGCATGCTAGGAAGCTGTATGAGGAAGGATGGCCTCACTGTTGTGGCCATCGATAGAAACAAGTGGGCAGCAGAGTGAGCCACTCTCTCTGGAACCTAAACAAGGACCCAGCTCAATCAGTCACAAACTATTTTACTCAGATTTGGTGTTCGAGCATATATTCATACTGCACGAGTAACTAACAGTGTTTTCAAGTACTTGCAGGAAGGGAAGCAGCCATTGACTGTCATTTCCTCAATGGCCATACATACCAGGATGAAGTTCAAGTCAGGGTACATGACTTCCTTGACCTGGACCTTGCTCAGGTGTAACAGTAACTTGCAACTCCTGATACCAATCAGAACTTACCTGGCCCAACTAGTGATAACATAGAACAATGGCAGAAACAGTCAAACTGAGACAACTGCTTTACAACATCACCCATACTGTTAAATAACACAGGCACTAGTGTTCTGATACCTGGCAGGTGTACGGCCTCACAACCTATAGGTATTTCAAGTCCATCTGATGCTGTGATATTTAGAAATATAACACACCTCCTTATTTATTAGAGGTGCAACTGCATCAATAAGCTTGACGATGAGGTTGTACAGCTTCTCTTTCTCCTGATTGGTTCGTTGAGACTCTCCATAAAGTTGAGCCAGCCAATGAGCATATGCCTTGATGGCTGCCATAGCCTGAGAATGACTGAAAGAGAGCAAAAGGCTGTGAGTGATAGCAGTAGTATACATAACAGTCAGAACAATTAACACATCATAACAATCATATTGTCGATAAATACAGTAGTATCAGTCATGATACATAACTTTCCTTCAGTGTTTGAATACAACGGTAACACAAGTGTTATGCACTCTGACATGTATAACCTGTTCATCAACTATGAGTGAAGGTAGACTTTCTGTGCAATACTGACACTTGAATGAAGTCCGGCTGCAGCACAGACTGAGCTACCGATGTCACTTCAAACAGCTTGTGTTTACTTCCATATGTCACTGTCTCCACCAATCTGAAAACACAACAACATGAGGTGGATTAGATAAGCTCCACCAACTATCTGATTTCAAAACACCTATCAAGCATCATTGTCAGCACTTTCATCACACATTATCACATCCAGTTGTTGATTTCACATGTATTCTGTAACAACATTAACAATATTATAATTAAACGCTGCAGTTGCCCAGAAAATAAACAGATACCATATTTTCTTATATTTACTGCCACCCATGTTATACACACACCACATTCTATGTGTATAAGTTTACAGAAACAGTGTTATTGCATATGTAGTGTACAATGCAAAACTACACTATATCACTTCAAGTGAACCAACAGCTTATTAGAAACTTGGTCAATGATTATATCAAGTTTGGCGAATAAACATCCCCACATATGATAGTTCATAATTGCAATTGTATTCATGTACGTGAAGCAATGTTTGTATGACTGTAGACAACAATTATTAGTCCCATACAATTTACTGTGAAAAGAACCACAACTCATTGAATATGCTTGTATTAAGTGTTCCTCCTCTACATAGCTTTTAACACCAAGAGTGCATTACACACAGGATCATATGGTTTCCTTAATTACCACAGCCTTGACCCAGTCACACAAACACCTGCCTGCCACTTCAGTATCACATGAAAACTAGATGTTTGTACAGACAGAAAGTGTCAAGAAGTAAATGTTTACTTGTCCACCAGAACTTGGGCAATGGTGTATCTGTGGGCAAACTTCTCCCCAATGAAGTGATCTGCCAGCCTCCCAAGTGCCTGCAGTAGGGACGACAGATCTCTCAGTGTGCAGTGAAGTCTCCGACACTCGTTCTCGCCAGTGATATTGAGCCGACGGCCCTGCATGCCGTTTGTCACGCATGTCTCCAGCCCCATGTACACATTCATGTAATCCTTGAAAGGCTCCCACTGAAAGGTTGCCAGTAAACATACATACTGTCACTTCTCTACTGGGAGCAACTATTGCTAAACAGTGACTCAAATACACCCTGATTTGAAACACTGAACATACTTACACAATACATAAACAGTATGTGAGCCAGGAATGGTATTTACGCAACCCCCTCCTTAAACATTAATTGAAAATTTCCATCTCAGCAGTACTGCAGCTACTTAATATGAACATTATAATAGCCATCTAGGGGACCGTTCATAACTTATGGCTAGGGGGATGTGTGTGTGTGTGTGTGTGTGTGTGTGTGTGTGTGTGTGTGTGTGTGTGTGTGTGTGTGTGTGTGTGTGTGTGTGTGTGTGTGTGTGTGTGTGTGTGTGTGTGTGTGATGATAAATGTGCATGTACAATGTGTGACCCCACTGCATGTGTGTACAAAATCAATGACACCCCCCTTCCCTCCCATAATTTTTAAGCATAATGTTTAAATATTTTAATGTACAAAATTGCTGACCCTCCTAGTACATGTGTACAAATTTGATGACCCCCTACCTCCCCAGAACAAAATGGGTGACCTCCCTTAATATCATCATCACAAAGTCAACACCCCCCAAACCCCATAAATTATGGAGGTCCCTTGATCTTACAAATTATCCTCTTGAGCTCTATTACTTCTAAATCAGACAAAAGGTAAGAACATGTTATTGTTATCATGGTTGTCTGAGGTTGTACAGACACAAGTAAACTATAATCTTGAATATTTCTTCTGTATTGAATGTTTAATGAGAAAACCCAGAACTTACTATGAGCTGGAAAGTCTCTGCTGTGAGGAGTTCAGCAACCTTGGCTATTACTTCGAGACACTGACGAAGGAAGTGTTGCCACTCTGTCTCAGACTGAAAGGAACACACCAACTTCATCACACTAAGGTTTCCTAGGCAATAATTTTCCACATCACCACTGACCGAGTGACACCTACCACTCCATGATGCCACTCCATTCAACAGCAACAACTCATTCCTGGCAGTGAGTGGGGGATTGTTACTTAACATTGCAGTCCCTAAACATTGAGTTATATCACCATGATCACTGTCCAGACAAACTCCAGACAAACCAGTGTTTGAAGATATGACATCAGGGCATGATGAATGAAACCTATTCACTCCAACTTCATCCCTCAATGATTCCATATCACCAGCATCGCATCCATATTTCACCTGATCCAAAAGGCTAGCATCACACCAACATTTGACCTGACCCAAAAGGCACAAGTTGGGAAGGGCCCAGTTGTATATGGCACATGAATTCTATCTTAAGAGTTTCACCCCTTTGTCACACCTGAATCCAGTGATCAGGGGTTTGATAAGTCACCCTGATTGTGGTTCATGGTTTGTCAGAACTCTACAAGTAGGATCAATATCAATCCATGCTTTCATCCCACATGGTGCTGTGATCAATGATGCTTGATCATTGTTTTCACTGTTGGGTCATGGAAGCCTGATGTTAGGTCCACACATTACAGCACAGTATTCCATTACTAGTTCTTTGGTAAGATCTTAGGACACAGTATTCCAATACTAGTCCTTAGTAAGATATTAGGGCATGGTGTTCCAATACTAGTTATTTGGTAAGATCTTAGGACACAGTATTCCACTGTTCTTTCTTTAGTAAGATTTTAGGGCATGGTGTTCGAATACTAGTCCTTAGTAAACTACTCACATCATCATCGAGCGTGTCGTCATCCAGCTCCTCTAGCTGAGACTGGTTGAAGCGGAACTGGAACTTCTGCAGGATGTGAGACACCAGGGACAACAGAGCTTCCTGGTACCTGTAAAAAATGTCAGAGAGTGGGGTACACCTCAGGTGGGAGACTGTCAGACCAATGTCAGAGAGTGGGGTACACCTCAGGTGGGAGACTGTCAGACCAATGTCAGAGAGTGGGGTACACCTCAGGTGGGAGACTGTCAGACCAATGTCAGAGAGTGGGGTACACCTCAGGTGGGAGACTGTCAGACCAATGTCAGAGAGTGGGGTACACCTCAGGTGGGAGACTGTCAGACCAATGTCAGAGAGTGGGGTACACCTCAGGTGGGAGACTGTCAGACCAATGTCAGAGTGGGGTACACCTCAGATGGGAGACTGTCAGACCAATGTCAGAGAGTGGGGTACACCTCAGATGGGAGACTGTCAGACCAATGTCAGAGAGAGGGGGTACACCTCAGTGGGAGACTGTCAGACCAATGTCAGAGAGTGGGGTACACCTCAGGTGGGAGACTGTCAGACCAATGTCAGAGAGTGGGGTACACCTCAGGTGGGAGACTGTCAGACCAATGTCAGAGAGTGGGGTACACCTCAGGTGGGAGACTGTCAGACAAATGTCAGATGTCAGAGGGGTACACCTCAGATGGGAGACTGTCAGACCAATGTCAGAGTGGGGTACACCTCAGATGGGAGACTGTCAGACCAATGTCAGAGAGTGGGGTACACCTCAGATGGGAGACTGTCAGACCAATGTCAGAGAGTGGGGTACACCTCAGGTGGGAGACTGTCAGACAAATGTCAGAGAGCGGGGTACACCTCAGGTGGGAGACTGTCAGACAAATGTCAGAGAGGGGGTACACCTCAGGTGGGAGACTGTCAGACAAATGTCAGAGGGGGTACACCTCAGATGGGAGACTGTCAGACCAATGTCAGAGAGTGGGGTACACCTCAGGTGGGAGACTGTCAGACCAATGTCAGAGAGGGGGTACACCTCAGATGGGAGACTGTCAGACCAATGTCAGAGAGTGGGGTACACCTCAGGTGGGAGACTGTCAGACCAATGTCAGAGAGTGGGGTACACCTCAGGTGGGAGACTGTCAGACCAATGTCAGAGAGTGGGGTACACCTCAGGTGGGAGACTGTCAGACCAATGTCAGACAGCGGGGTGACCAATGTCAGAGAGTGGGTACACCTCAGATGGGAGACTGTCAGACCAATGTCAGAGAGTGGGGTACACCTCAGGTGGGAGACTGTCAGACCAATGTCAGAGAGCGGGGTACACCTCAGGTGGGAGACTGTCAGACCAATGTCAGAGAGTGGGGTACACCTCAGGTGGGAGACTGTCAGACCAATGTCAGAGAGTTGGGTAAACCTCAGATGGGAGACTGTCAGACCAATGTCAGAGAGTGGGGTACACCTCAGATGGGAGACTGTCAGACCAATGTCAGACAGCGGGGTACACCTCAGGTGGGAAGACTGTCAGACCAATGTCAGAGAGTGGGGTACACCTCAGGTGGGAGACTGTCAGACCAATGTCAGAGAGTGGGGTACACCTCAGGTGGGAGACTGTCAGACCAATGTCAGAGAGAGTGGGTACACCTCAGATGGGAGACTGTCAGACCAATGTCAGAGAGTGGGGTACACCTCAGGTGGGAAGACTGTCAGACCAATGTCAGAGAGTGGGGGTACACCTCAGGTGGGAGACTGTCAGACCAATGTCAGAGAGTGGGCCACACCTCAGGTGGGAGACTGTCAGACCAATGTCAGAGAGTGGGGTACACCTCAGGTGGGAGACTGTCAGACAAATGTCAGAGAGTGGGGTACACCTCAGATGGGAGACAGTCAGACCAATGTCAGAGAGTGGGGTACACCTCAGATGGGAGACTGTCAGACCAATGTCAGAGAGTGGGGTACACCTCAGATGGGAGACTGTCAGACCAATGTCAGACAGCGGGGTACACCTCAGGTGGAAGACTGTCGACCAATGTCAGAGAGCGGGGTACACCTCAGGTGGGAGACTGTCAGACAAATGTCAGAGAGTGGGGTACACCTCTGGTGGGAGACTGTCAGACCAATGTCAGAGAGTGGGGAACACCTCAGATGGGAGACTGTCAGACCAATGTCAGAGAGCGGGTACACCTCAGATGGGAGACTGTCAGACCAATGTCAGAGAGTTGGGTACACCTCAGATGGGAGACTGTCAGACCAATGTCAGAGAGTGGGGTACACCTCAGATGGGAGACTGTCAGACCAATGTTAGAGAGCGGGGTACACCTCAGATGGGAGACTGTCAGACCAATGTCAGAGGGGGTACACCTCAGATGGGAGACTGTCAGACCAATGTCAGAGAGTGGGGTACACCTCAGATGGGAGACTGTCAGACCAATGTCAGAGAGGGGGTACACCTCAGATGGGAGACTGTCAGACCAATGTCAGAGAGTGGGGAACACCTTAGGTGGGAGAGACTGTCAGACCAATGTCAGAGAGTGGGGTAGACCTCAGGTGGGAGACTGTCAGACAAACGTCAGAGAGTGGGGAACACCTCAGGTGGGATACACGGAGACAATACTTGCTATACTAACACGCATTATACAGCAGTCAAACTTTTGGTACAAATTGTATGACCTATGTGTACTCTGCCAACAAAATGGCTCAGATGTAAACATGATACACTACCTAACCACAGATGACCTTCTTCACACATGTATTAGTTGCAGCAAAAATAAAGAATTGACACATACTCTATCAGTCATCAAAATTAGTGCTAATCTACAGAACAACAGCTGCATACAATAAAGCAGTATACGTTGATACATCTGCATCAAGACCAACTGGGAAATACTCCATCTCAGGGGCTCCAAACACCACAACCATTATGAGGCAATAGCTGGGTTTAGCAATTGTCTTTTGGCATCAGATTGAGTAGATTTCAAGACAACTCATATTAATATATGGACCATTATCATTTTTATTAGCTGAGAATACGGGATTAAACAAAACACAGGGACAATGACATACCTGCTGACTATGCTGAGTCCATCTGCCGACCTCTCCTGGAGTTTGGTCAGCAGGTAGTCCAGAAAGGTGTTCCAGATGTCCAGACAGTTGAAGAATCCATCATTGCCAGGCTGAAACAAACACACATCACACTCAGAACTCTGATAAGTGCTACTGTAAGTCAAAATGCTTTGTTTGTTTATTTGTTTGTGGTGTAGCGCACCATGCAGCAATATCCAAGCTATATGTGGGGATCTGCAAATACTCAAGTCTGGGCCAGAAAATCCAGTGATTGATATCATGAGCATCTGGGTTACGGGTTATCAATTTGGCAATGACATGCATCAACAAGTCAAAGAGCCTGAACACTGATCTGGTTAATCAACTTTAAAGACAAGCGTGGGCTACGGAAGATCAATTCTAACCAGGATCTTCAAAGGGGGAGTCATGCAGATTTCTGTTTACTACAATCCTTAAATTATGGACATAATTTTTTGCCAGAAAAGACAAAAGAAATCAACTAACAGTGTGTTTCACATTTTCGAAAGAACAGACCGTGTGATATGTGGCACGTTTCTATCCCCCACTGAGATACTGTTAGAAATTTGCACAATTATGACACTAAGGCATATCAATTATACTTATATTTGCCCCATCAAAACAACTGCATGAACAATAAACTATGATAAATGTTTACAACATTGCGTATATTTACCTGTCTGAAGGTATACTTGAAGAGAAGAGCAAGGAATTCTAATACAGGAAACTGTGCACTGCCCTCAAAACGACGCAAGTGTATACTGACAAAGAGTCGCAAAAAATCAGTGAATTTCTCCACGTAACTGAAAGGAAAACATCAACATCATGTTATTCACTGCACAAATGTTAGGATGAATGATTCGCAGACAAACAATAGTAGGATAATCATACAATGATAAACTACATACATAACAACAGGTAAACCCAGTGTTCACGAATAGCGTCTGTCCTCTGACAAATCCGGCAGATTTGCCAACGGTCCGATAGAAGTCTACAACCCGCCGGCCCCAATGTCAGACTGTATATTTCACAATGACTTCGACTGAAGTTGTTATATGTGACATGTGACACTTGTTTGCCCTTCATAAATCTTACGTTTGTTAAAAATTTCAATGCCAATTATAAGAAATGTTGAATATGAAATGTGTGTTTAATTTTATTCTATGGGTCCTGTGGATTTTGAATGGGTCAGACAGACATCTGAAACTTATAGGACCCAATGTCCTGTTACTTTTGAAACAGCATTCGTGAACACTGTAAACCTGGACTGTATCCATGATATCACCTGTACAATATTTGCCATATTAGCAAGATACAAGTCTACAAGCAACCAGCAAATCAAACAACACCAATCTTCATAGTTGGAACTCACACAACCTAGGTAGATAAGGGAAACACTGGGCTGGATTTGATCTCACTTTGAGGATATGTTGGTTGTTTTATGTTGTGGAAGGACAATGGGTTGTATATGCCTGGGGGGAACACCCACAGTGATACAGGCCAAGCTTGTGCGGCACTATGGTGAAACCAATAACCATAGTTGTGGAGACACACCGAGGCTCAAAATCAGGGTAAACCATGCAGCCACAATCATAAACTCCATGCACTTGACTACAGAGGGACCTTCATAGTTTGCTTGTGTTAAATGCATGCAGTATTCAAGCTTTATGCTGGCACTCTGTAAATAACACTTGTGAGAGGGGTACACAAAGTCTGTTATCTTGACTACTAGTTGTCAGACTTCTCTTGTGAAAGCCATGTTGGCTGAGTTGGTTGGATGGCTGACTTTGTGTGCTGGTGATCAGTTGCCTGACTCTCAGAGCATGGGTTTGAATCCCGGATGGGACTCAACACCCTAAGAGTACTTTGCTGACAAAGTCTAATCCTAAATATTACATCTGTTAAGTCTGGACCAGACAATCCTGTGACTGACATCATGAGCATTGTTACATGCAGTTGGGAAAGATGTTGGATGCAATCAGTCACTGAGTAGGACAACCTGATCCATTTAATTGCCACTTATGTTTCTTGTGACTGTTATTCTTAATCCGAATCACCAGGTGAGAGGAGTAAGTGAGTGAGTTTAGTTTTACACCACTTTTTTATCAATATTCCAGCAATATCACGGCTAGGGACACCAGAAATGGGCCTCGCACATTGTGCCCATGCGGGGAGTCGAACCCGTCCCTTCGGCGTGAAGGGCAAACACTTTAACCACTAGGCTACCCTACCACCCCAAAGGTGAGAGGAGCTTTCAGGAGATAACAACAACTTAACAAAGCCACCCACCTATCTTCGAGTTCTGCTAATCTGTTTCCTGTTGGATTAGTAGAGCTCTCCTTTGTCATCTTTTGTAACAGGTAAAATGTCTGCTGAAACATCTGTAGCAGGAAGTCCTCAAACTCCTGTGGGACACAGTTCTTGGACAGCAGCTCATTGACACAGTTCATGGCCAGCACACCCAGACACTGAGTACTGTTGGAGAAGGACATGTTCGGACTGGATGCCCGGTTGTTGCGCACCTCGCAGCCAAATCCTGCATAGTGGAAGATGGTGCTGAGCAGAGTGGGGGTGATGGTTGCGGAGAGCGGGATCCAGCTGAAGTAGTGGGCCAGGGAGAGGGCAGCGGAACACAACTGCTGGGACTCATCATCCAGGGGGGGGAGAGCTTCCATGCGTGTGCCTCGGATTGGGGACTTGAACATACTGCTTAGAAGAGTATCTGGGAAAATAACAGACGGGGGCATGAGCATAACAATGTTATGCAGCTTGTGCAAATTTCTTAACACGGCTACACAATAGTATAAATTCTTCATTCAAAACTAAACATGACTTGGGGATAAATGTTGTGGAAGACTAGTGTGAATGATCATTATATGAAACAGTTAAGTTCTAAATCACAGGATATTGTTTTGGATGTAAGCAAGAGATATGTTATATCATGGAAGTCTGTTAATAACTTGGAATGAACAAGCAAACCAGTAGTTGTTAGCATGAAGAACGATCCAAACTGATTGGGTACACAGACACACAAGTCTCACTTAATAAATCCAATGCTGATGTTAGTCAGTTATAAACACAGGCAAATGATAGCAAAAGCTATTCTAAGTCATGCAAAGCTTCACAATATTGAGTCCTGGACATGAGTATCATTGTAAATTTGAAAAATTCTCTATAGATTAATCCTCTAAAACACCAGTATATGTTTGTTTAGACATGGCAGATACTCATCATCCATATACCTGATCTGATAGGTGAAGAAGAGAAGAGCATTAGAGAAGATCTGCGACTAATGCTGCTGTCCCCCTGTGTCGGTGAAGGTGGAGGAGTGGCTGCCACTAGGTGGCGATGCTTTTCAAGCACTGTTTCTAGAAGATCTGAAAACAAACAGGGAGAGAAAATATGCTATCAATATCATAAAACGATATCTGAAATATGTTTTAAGTAAATTACTGAGAATTAATGCATAAACTGATGTTGTCGCTTCTTGCAACCTAAACTTAAATGTCCATGGGAATATAATGAGGAAGTAGTTGAGCACATGTACAGATAGTCTGTCGTACAGACCCTGAAGCAAATATGTCCAAGAAAACCCACACAAGTCTAGAATATGTGGCAAGTCTAGATTTCCTCAGCTTCAGGCTGAAAATGAAGAAATTCTCAGGGCTCCTTTTCATTATATTTTTTTTTTTTACTATGAACTTTTTTCAGTAAAATATGTTCATTTCAGAGACTAGTTGTTAGTCTAAGAGGTACAGAGGACATGATACATACTGTTAAGTTTACTGAGGACATGGTACTGACTGTTGAGTGTACCGAGGACATGGTACTCACTGTTGAGTGTACTGAGGACATGGTACTCACTGTCGGGTGTACTGAGGACATGGTACTGACTGTTGAATGTACTGAGGACTTGGTACTCACTGTCGGGTGTACTGAGGACATGGTACTGACCGTTGAGTGTACTGAGGACATGGTACTCACTGTCGGGTGTACTGAGGACATGGTACTGACTGTAAGGTGTACTGAGGACATGGTACTCACTATTGAGTCTACTGAGGACAGGGGCGGTGGGGTAGCCTAGTGGTTAAAGCGTTGGCTAGTCAGTCTACTGAGGACATGATACTCACTGTTGAGTACGTGGGGGACATGGCAGTCACTGGTGAGTGTACTGAGGACAAGGCATTCACTGTTAAGTGTACTGAGGACATGGTACTGACTGTTGAGTGTACTGAGGACATGGTACTCACTGTTGAGTGTACTGAGGACATGGTACTCACTGTTGAGTGTACTGAGGACATGGTACTGACTGATGAGTGTACTGAGGACATGGTACTGACTGTTGAGTGTACTGAGGACATGGTACTCACTGTTGAGTGTACTGAGGACATGGTACTGACTGATGAGTGTACTGAGGACATGGTACTGACTGTTGAGTGTACTGAGGACATGGTACTGACTGTTGAGTGTACTGAGGACATGGTACTGACTGTCGGGTATACTGAAGACATGGTACTCACTATTGAGTCTACTGAGGACATGATACTCACTGTTGAGTACGTGGGGGACATGGCAGTCACTGGTGAGTGTACTGAGGACAAGGCATTCACTGTTAAGTGTACTGAGGACATGGTACTGACTGTTGAGTGTACTGAGGACATGGTACTCACTGTTGAGTGTACTGAGGACATGGTACTCACTGTTGAGTGTACTGAGGACATGGTACTGATGAGTGTACTGAGGACATGGTACTGACCGTTGAGTGTACTGAGGACATGGTACTGACTGTTGAGTGTACTGAGGACATGGTACTCACTGTTGAGTGTGTACTGAGGACATGGACTGTTGAGTGTACTGAGGACATGGTACTGACTGTTGAGTGTACTGAGGACATGGTACTCACTGTAAGAGTGTACTGAGGACATGGTACCCACTGTTGAGTGTACTGAGGACATGGTACTCACTGTTGAGTGTACTGAGGACATGGTACTGACTGTTGAGTGTACTGAGGACATGGTACTCACTGCTGAGTGTACTGAGGACATGGTACTGACTGTTGAATGTACTGAGGACATGGCACTCACTGCTGAGTGTACTGAGGACATGGTACTGACTGTTGAGTGTACTGAGGACATGGTACTCACTGTTGAGTGTACTGAGGACATGTACTGAGGTACTGAGGACATGGTACTCACTGCTGAGTGTACTGAGGACATGGTACTGACTGTTGAGTGTACTGAGGACATGGTACTGACTGTTGAGTGTACTGAGGACATGGTACTCACTGTGAGTGTACTGAGGACATGGTACTCACTGCTGAGTGTACTGAGGACATGGTACTCACTGCTGAGTGTACTGAGGACATGGTCACTGACTGTTGAGGTACATGGTAGGACATGGTACTACAGGACATGGTACTCACTGCCGGGTGTACTGAGGACATGGTACTCACTGTTGAGTGTACTGAGGACATGGTACTCACTGCTGAGTGTACTGAGGACATGACACTCACTGTTGAGTGTACTGAGGACATGGTACTGACTGTTGAGTGTACTGAGGACATGGCACTCACTGCCGAGTGTACAGAGGACATGGTACTGACTGTTGAGTGTACTGAGGACATGGTACTGACTGTCCAGTGTAGTGAGGACATGGTACTCACTGTCGGGTGTACCGAGGACATGGTACTGACTGTAAGGTGTCCCGAGGACATGGTACTCACTGTTGAGTGTACTGAGGATGTGGTACTCACTGCCAGGTGTACTGAGGACACGGTACTGACTGTTGAGTACAATGAGGACATGGTACTCACTGTTCAGCATGCAGATGACATGCTACTCATTGTTGAGTGTACTGAGGACATGGTACTCACTGCCGGGTGTACTGAGGACATGGTACTCACTGTTGAGTGTACTGAGGAGGTGGTACTCACTGCTGGGTGTACTGAGGACATGGTACTCACTGCCGGGTGTACTGAGGACATGGTACCCACTGTTGAGTGTACTGAGGACATGGTACTGACTGTTGAGTGTACTGAGGACATGGTACTGACTGCTGAGTGTACTGAGGACATGGTACTGACTGCTGAGTGTACTGAGGACATGGTACTGACCGTTGAGTGTACTGAGGACATGGTACTGACTGTTGAGTGTACTGAGGACATGGTACTGACTGTTGAGTGTACTGAGGACATGGTACTCACTGCTGAGTGTACTGAGGACATGGTACTGACTGTTGAGTGTACTGAGGACATGGTACTGACTGTTGAGTGTACTGAGGACATGGTACTGACTGTTGAGTGTACTGAGGACATGGTACTGACTGTTGAGTGTACTGAGGACATGGTACTGACTGTTGAGTGTACTGAGGACATGGCACTCACTGCTGAGTGTACTGAGGACATGGTACTGACTGTTGAGTGTACTGAGGACATGGTACTGACTGTTGAGTGTACTGAGGACATGGTACTCACTGCCGGGTGTACTGAGGACATGGTACTCACTGTTGAGTGTACTGAGGACATGGTACTCACTGCTGAGTGTACTGAGGACATGGTACTCACTGTTGAGTGTACTGAGGACATGGTACTGACTGTTGAGTGTACTGAGGACATGGCACTCACTGCCGAGTGTACAGAGGACATGGTACTGACTGTTGAGTGTACTGAGGACGTCATGGTACTGACTGTTGAGTACAATGAGGACATGGTACTGACTGTCCAGTGTAGTGAGGACATGGTACTCACTGTCGGGTGTACCGAGGACATGGTACTGACTGTAAGGTGTCCCGAGGACATGGTACTGACTGTTGAGTGTACTGAGGATGTGGTACTCACTGCCAGGTGTACTGAGGACACGGTACTGACTGTTGAGTACAATGAGGACATGGTACTCACTGTTCAGTATGCAGATGACATGCTACTCATTGTTGAGGGTACTGAGGACATGGTACTCACTGCCGGGTGTACTGAGGACATGGTACTCACTGTTGAGTGTACTGAGGAGGTGGTACTCACTGCCGGGTGTACTGAGGACATGGTACTCACTGCCGGGTGTACTGAGGACATGGTACTCACTGTTGAGTACAATGAGGACATGGTACTCACTGTTCAGTATACAAAGGGACATGGTACTGACTGTTGAGTACAATGAGGACATGGTACTCACTGTTCAGTATACAGACGACATGTATACTGAGCGTACTGAGGACATGGTACTCACTGCTAAGAGTACTGAGGTCATGGTACTCCTGTTCAGTATACAGAGGACATGTATACTGAGCGTACTGAGGACATGGTACTCACTGTTCAGTATACTGAGGACGTTGGGCACCTGCACCAGCAGCAGTCGGTGGAGTTCCTCCTTCCTGGCCATGCTCAGGTCTTCCCGGGGGGCGGCCAGTTCCTCGGACGCTGTCTGTAGTAGTATCACACCCAACATTGTGGTGTCTTGACCCTGGGCAAGCTGGTAATATAAAAATGTTGCCTGATTATCTTAAATTCTTTTATGTTTGTTCTTTTCACCATCATTTTTCATTGCTGCGCCCATCATTATTCCAGCCATATGATGTCAGTCTGAACAGGACAGGAAAATAAAGTACTCAACCAAATCACCTGACCAAGAAAGCCAACTTACCCAGTGGGGGGTCATGTTGGCACTAGTTGGTATGAACACCAGGTGAGGTGAGGTGAAATTGGGTTTAACGTCGTGCTTGAGAATATTTCGTTCATATGACGACGTGCGTGTGTGTGTATGTGTATGTGCGGCTGCTTGTACTAGCCCAGACTTAAGCTGGTTTTATAGTGCTAGCCCACTGAGATACCATGCTGCAGTGAAGCATGAATACCCCACTCAGACACATTATACTGACTCCGAGCCGACCAGTCATGGTTGTACCCATTAATGCTGAGCGCCAGGCAGGGACCAACAAGTACCATATTTTAACATCTTTTGGTATGACGCGGTCGGGGATCGAACCCACGACCTTCCGTTCTCCGGGCGGACGCTCTAACCACTACACCACGGAGGCGGTCATGAACACCAGGATGCAGAGAGATTATATATATGTGAATGTAAAATCAAGAAGTAATCAGATAATAAAGGTGGTAACTGATCTGAGGAACATTAATGTTTATCCGTTCTGAATGGTGATGGCAATGGACACATGGAAGCAGGCACTGATCTGATAAGCACTGATTGGCAATGGACAAAAGAAAGGCAGGGGGTAATTAGCAGTGATTCGTGACACTATAGAGACCAGGGAACATGTCTATGTAGCGCTTGGGACTTAATTCATCTGAGCCTGCATCTATCTAGGCCATAAATGAAGCTGCCTCCAATTACTATCACTATGATAGTAGACATTTTGTAAGTCCATTACTATCACCAATCATTGGAGAAGTTGACATCCATACATCTGTGTAACCCTTTTTGCTTATGCATAACCATGTTAACCCTTCAAAACATGCAAAATGCCATTTAAAGATTAAATATAAAAACTTCTAAAGAATCAAGCTTGATTTTCAGGAAAGATATGCAATTGTAGTGTTCCAATGTAGCCAGTTGAAATGATACATAATGCTCGTGTTTCTTCATACACTAACTGAGCAATGCTGTGAAAAGAAATTCTCAACAATTAAGATTTACAATACCTGTAAAATACTTGGAAAAAAGTCTGGGTAGAAATGTGGCCAGTCAATCCTTCCGATGTCCACAACCAGTTTAACAATCTTATTCCTGATGTACGAGGGTACAACAGTATGGTGAATCAACAGGAACTGGTTCAGAGTGTTGCGAATCTTGATCTTGTCCTGGCCATCAAACCCCAACCATTGCTTGTTGATTAGATTCTGAAATAGGTTTGATTTCACAACAGTTTGTTTGGTTGTCAGTTAACAAGAGTCATCAGAAGATGTAATTTTTTAAGTAAAAGTGATATTTCATACTTATCCTGACTCATGATCTTTTGCTTATCTCCTTCTTCTATGCGAATGTTAGTGGAACACTTGAATGCCTTGTAGTCCCTAAAGCGGACGTAAAAGTTCACTCACCCACGAGTTACCTCCCTTTTCCTGCGCATTTATTAGATTTTGTGTTAGTGAGCAATTCATTGGTCTCATATGGAATCAAACGGACTATACAAAATTACATATTTTTCCTTATCCTGACTCATGATATTTTGCTTATAGAATCCGACGGATTGGTGGTGGTTCAAACCACTTCGTGGATTCATCAGCTGTCCTTAGATACGTCCTGTAACTGCGTAACGGCACTTCCTAGATCCTATTCTTCCAACTTCCGTTATAAACTCGGGGGACCACAATCTTGTCCTACTTCTCACTCAGACAAGTGAATCTTATAGATTCATGTGGATTTTAGATATACTAGTATCTTCTTTTTACTAGTTATCTATAACAACCCATAGATTATGATAAGATCATTATCATAAATGAGTTGCGACCCCCTTCACGTACAGGTAAGATTGTTACCCGTATAGTCTAAATCACTCATGCTAGTCTAGTCCAGACGGAGAGCATGGACTTTCAAACTAAAACTTCTCCAGAGTAAAATTTATCTACAAGTCAACATGACAAAGGGTGAGATTTCCAACTCAGCGCCTTTGTGGAACTGTTTAGTTGTTGTGCTACAACAAGTGGCCCAAACTGGTGAATGCCGGAGATGTCTTCGGTGGCTATGTCTCTGAGGTAGTGGTTGGCAAACACTGTAACCGACTTCCAAAAGCAGCCCTCCATTATTGATGATATTGAGCAGTTTCCGTGCAGAGCGAGTGTAGACGCCAGTGCTCTGACTTCATGTGGGTTTTAGGCTCTTGGAGGCTCTAATCCTGCTGCTTTGTAGGCCCTCAGTATAACGGCTCCCATCCAAAACGATATTGTCGTTCTTGAGACCACTACATATGTCTCCGTTGACAAGGGGATGAATAGGCGCTTGAATTTTCTTCTCCTTGTTTTAGTCTTTTGAAGATATATTTTCAGGGCTCTGACAGGACACAAGGATAAGTCCTGGGTGTCCTCTGGTCCGAGGATTGTAGATAGCGCTGGGACGTGGAACTGTCTATCTGGATGGCCAGGTAACCGATTCTTTGCAATAAAGTCCTATCTAAGTCCTAGATGTACTGCAGCACGGTCTCCGGTGTCAAATCTAGTTCGTCCAAAGTCCAGCGCATGTATCTCTGACATTCGAGCTGCTGTAGCTAATGCAAGGAGGAACAGAGTTTTCTGTGTGAGTAGCTCGAAGGTAGTTTGCTCTAGAGGTTCGTAGGCATCACTCATGAGATGTCGTAGAATTACGTTCAGATCCCAGGCTGGAGCTCTGAATTTCTTTTGCGGGTCTTTTTCAAAGCGGTCTTCCAGTTTCAAAGAGCGTCTTCATCATGACGACTATACTAATAGCGGCCAGGTATGTTTATAATGTCGAACCTTTCAAATGCCTTGTATATCTAAGGTGACATAGATATTCCACCACTTGAGGATGAGTCGCTTTCATTGCTGTGAAGCCTTTCCGTCTTGCATATTGTTCAAATTTTTGCCATTTGTTGTCGTACAAGTTGCGAGTTGATCTACAACAGGATCTTTTGCTGCTCTGGCAGAGTATCCTCTTTTCTTTTCTAAGAATCTGATAACTGATATATTGTACTTGAAAGTAATTTCAAATGTGGAAACTTCAAGGACTCCTTTACATGTTTTATGATTAACACTGATGTGAGCATAATGTTTTGAACCCCATGATCACCTAATAAATATGTAATTTAATGTGTTTTACATAAAGGTCACATGCAACGTAAAACACAACTTTGCAGATTCTGATACCTTTCGAATGGACTTACAGATACAAATCATCAAAAATGCAAAATTCAACTTATAAAGTTGAAAATTATTAAAATCTAAATATTTTAGATATTTAAATACTTACCTTACCATAGGTCTTATGCATATTACCTCAAGCTCCGCTTAAAAGAGGTCAGTCAGTCGTTGATTCGCCATTCTACTAGAATGGCTCCCTCATGTATCGACAAGTGTACAGGAACGGAAGTGACGTGATCTCCCCTCCCGCGCAAGCATGGTCTATCCAAAAATCACTTTTACTGACCAGGTCTGAAGAGCCCAGAAAGGGGAGGAGCATCTAGCATTGGGAGGGAGTAACCACCCTATGGTAAGGTATGTATTTAAATATCTAAATCTCATGCAGATTATTGGCTGTAGGGTGAGGGAGATCTTGTGCATCGTAGGCGGCCAGGATGGTCGTATGCAGCCAGAGAGCGATGGTATTCCTATTAACCTCACCCTATGGCGCAGAGGAGAGTGGGATGAACAGTCGCTTGCGAGACTGCCTCCTGGTTGACGGCTTGGCAATGTACCTCTTAAGAGCCCTCACAGGACAAAGCAGCTGTTCCTCAGCGTCCTGGGGTCCTAAGATGGAAGACAATGGAGGAATGGAGAACATCCTGTCCGGTTGTCCTGGCAGCTGGTTCTTAGCCACGAAGTCCCAAAGCAGTCCCAGATGATCAAGACCATGCCGCGACTGCTCAAAACGCACCCTGTTGACATCCAATGCCAGGGCCATGAGAAAAGCTGTTTTTCTGGAGAGGTTCTCAAACGAAGCAGTGTCCTGAGCAGGTGAGGCCACTATGGTAACTGTTGCGGACTTCTTTTCGGCGGGGCGCAGATCTGGGAACAAGGTTCTGGTTGGCCACCAAGGCACAACCAAAAGCAGATGAATCCTCTTCGTCTGTTTGACCTTTGCTACTACTGCTGGCAACAGAACTGGTGGTGGAAAGGCGTATGCGTCCAGACCCTCCCACAACAAGGATATGGCATCGACTCCCCATCCCGCCGGATCAGGAATCGGAGACACGTACAATGGAAGCTGTTTGTTGAACCGAGTCGCAAACAGGTCGATCAGAGGGCGGCCGTGACTGTGACATAGAAGGTTGAATGCTTCTGGATGCAGCATCCACTCTGTTGGCGATGGCTTGCCTGGCCTTGAGAGAGCGTCTGCTAGGACATTCTTGCACCCTGGGATGTGCCGGGCTCTGGCTCTGATGCTGTTGTCGTCCAGGATACTGGCCAACAGGAAAGTCTGCTCCAACAGATGCTTGGACCTGTTCATTCCCTGGTTGCTAATCAGCCAAACCACCGTGGAATTGTCCGACGCAATCAGGAGCTTGGTGTTCCTCAGGAGAGGCGTCCAGTGTTTGACCGCTAGAATGACCGCTTGGAGCTCCAGGTTGTTGATATGCCACCCTAGCTCGGCATCAGACCACAGCCCCGAGGTGGTATGGCTGTTGAGGTGTGCCCCCCAACCCTGAAGAGACGCGTCTACGAACAGTTCGTGATCGGGAACTTCCTGTGACGATGGTAAATAGGCACATGCAAGTAGGCGTCCTGGAGGTCGAGGCTGGCCAACCAAACCCTGGGCGCAAGCCTGGCACGCAGCTGTTCCAGGGACACCATCCAGAAGTGAGGCAGCTCCGAAAGGTAGGTCGTTGAAAACTGCCATATTGTGAATCATGCGCAGTTTGACTGAATCCTTCTTGGGAACCAGGAAGATGGGTGAGTAGAACCCCGGGGACTGCTGGGGGTCTAGCACTGTCTCTATGGCCTGTTTGTCTAGCAGAGTCTGCTAACAGTAACTGCTGATCTAGGGCATACACGCGTGACTGAGGCGTTGTAGTCAGAAATGGCGACATGGCGATTGGCAACTTGTAACCGGTCTTGAGGATGTTGGTCACAAAAGGATCCTCTAGGACTGTCCAATTGGGCCAGAAGATCCCTAGTCTCCCGCATACTGGAGTACGATGAACCGGCACGGCTGGAGGCAGGAGGTCCCAGTCGTGTTGATTCAAAGCTTCAGCGTCCTGAGTAAGGGCGCCTACCCCTACCCCTGCTGGGCGTCGAAGGGGGCTCCTGAGGACGGTCCTGCGGAGAGTGCTAAAAATCAGGGTTGGGCCTGCCATGGCCGCTATGGACAGAATCTCTCCTTGGGATGTAATGGCGCTTCCCTCTTCCTCTCATAGACGTCTTGCCACGAAAGGCCGAACTCAGAGCCTCAAAGGTAGACAGAGACACTTCAGTGTTAGTGAGCTCAGCATGCTCCTTGTAAACCTCCGGAATCCGGTTATCGAAGAGGACACTAGACGCGAACGGAGCTCTTAGCAACTTCCTCTTGAACTCTTCCTGCCACGAACAAGGTTCAAGAAAACCACTCCGACGAACCACTGTAGTCATGGCCAAAGCCGCCCGGAGGTGAGCCAACAAGTCATGCAACACCTTACCCTGCTACTGAAACAGGGTGGTGAGGTGTTCTGATCTAGACGCATTGTCCTCAGTCAGATCCCATGCTGCCGCCAAAGTAGCAGAGGCCAACGCCGACACAGGTTTCAACATTCGCTTAAGTTCGGCGTCAGTAGCCAACATCTTAGAGTCTTGCACTCTGGAAGAAGACTGAGGAGAGCCTGACAACCGTTTCAGGGATTCATCATGGGTCGCACCACCATCAGCAAAGTCCAACCTATTGATCTTGTAGTCCCCTTTGCGCAACTTCTGGGCCTTGATAGTGGTGTTAAGTGACAGCTTAGCAAAATCGGCATCCAAGGAAGCCACTGCGCCGGCCACCATCGGGTGCGGCGGAAGGAGTAGCTCAGGAGAAAACCTAATTGCCCTCGGGTCATCAGTGCCTGTAGAAGGGGAAGGACAATCTGGCAGCCTGTCGGCGATCCAATCAAAAACCGCTGATTGGGGAAGGTACGTACCCCCATTATCTTCCTCGCCTAACAACTCCTCATTATAATCAGGGAAAAAATAACGTTCTTCCGTATTGTCCCAGGATACGGTAGGTACATCGTACCGTTGTCCAGAAGTGGAAAGAGTTGGGTGCTGAAGGGCAGACGACGGCTGAGGTACAGAACTGAAGGTAACGTCCGGGAAACGAGAACGTGGTCGTCGTGGCGCGCGGCGAGTGGCGAAATGGAGGTGACCTTGAACGAGAACGACGGTAGCGCCTCCCTGAGGTCAGAGTTGAAAACCTCTCATTGGAACATTGAGGAGAGCGAGATCTGGAACAAGACCGACGACGGCGACGATGGGCGTCAGAACTACGCGGGGGACTCCTAGAACGCTGACGTTGTCTCGGAGACCGGGAGCGAGATCGTTTAGAACGACGGGAGCGTTCGGCTTCCAGGCGTCAGGAACGCTCCTCCAGCAACTGGCGCTGCAAATCCTCCTCTCTAGAAATCGTAGCTGAAGGTGTCTTCCTAGGGATACGGTAATCTGAAAGCGGCGTCAGCGTCGGCGCTGGCTGATGCAATTGAACAGCAGCAGCAGGCGTCGGCGCTGGAACTGCACTCGGCAATGCAGATGAAGGCGCTGTCACGGCGCTGCGCAATGAAAGTGTTGGCGCTGGAACGGCGCTAGTTTGGGCTTCAATCTGAACGCTGGCTCTGGATGCAACAGGCAAGAGAAGTGGCCATAGAAGTTTCTGCATCTCCGGGTGAGATAAGGCTTCCGGCTGAGACAGATAAACTAAGGCGTCCCACGGGCGTTGAACCTCCGGCGTCAGCTTACGAGGCACAGGTGTAGAATTAGACTTGGGCATCTGTTCTGTCATCGAAGAGCGTCCACCTGGCGTTCGTGGAAGAGACGTTCAGGAACCAACAGAAGAAGCAGGCGAAGACATCTTCCTTCTGCGTTGCGAAAGCCATTTCTTCTTAGGGACGGTATAAGACTTAAAGTCGGCGACGGACAACGGGGTGCAGAAATGACAACGCTCAGCGAGCGAACAGGAGACTGTAGCGCAGTCTGGGCACCAAGGGTGTGGATCCTTAGCTGACTTCTGCACCTTGCAGATGCAGCAAAACTGACAGGCCATGCACACAAAAGCCATAACACACGAAAGGGAGTAACGTAAAACATACGTAAAAGGAGCAGAAAAAAACCCTGCAGAAAAGTGAAAACACCCCTGCAGTAAAAAATGGGCACGCCCAAACAGGCGGGACAGTAGAGAGTAAACAACCAAAATGGCTGCCCCACTGTGCCGAGAAGAGCGTGAAAAAATCAAGAATAAGGAATTACTAGCACTATACGCAAAATCAAGCATGAATAGTATGGTGAAAGAGACATAGGAGTATACAATACACCAAACATGCCAAAGCGAAGGGTCACTCACAACGTGGGAACACACCCCACACCGAAGTGAGAGACACGAGGCAGCAAGGTAGGTGAAACTTATTTTAATTCCTCTTCACCCACCATAGTAGAAGATAGGACATATAAAAACATACATACCAAATACCAATGTGAACTTTTAATAGCTAAAAGTATCAGTAAGTAGCAAGTAGCGAAACAAATAACGTCTGACTTGCAGTACGCTTGAAGTAAAAGTGATTTTTGGATAGATCGCGCTTGCGCGGGAGGGGAGATCACGTCACTTCGGTTCCTGTACACTCATCAATACATGAGGCAGCCATTCTAGTAGAATGGCGAATCAACGACTGTCTGATCTCTTTTAAGCGGAGCTTGAGGTAATATGCATAAGACCTATGGTAAGGTAAGTATTTAAATATCTAAAATATTTAGATTTTAATAATTTTCAACTTTATAAGTTGAATTTGCTTTTTTGATGATTTGTATCTGTAAGTCCATTCCGAAAGGTATCAGAATCTGCAAAGTTGTGTTTTACGTTGCATGTGACCTTTATGTAAAACACATTAAATTACATATTTATTAGGTATATGCATAAGACCTATGGTAAGGTAAGTTAAAAATATAACGCGATGAAAACCCCCCTGCAAAATCGGAGTTCAAACGTTTCATTAAATGTACCCCTGCTTGGGGTGAAAAGTGGTTTCAACAGCTGTGCTGCGCTGCGCTGGGCTGTGCTCATAGCGCATAGGTTCACGCAGCTTGGAAGCGGGATCTCCAGATTATATGGTCGTGAGCAGAGTAGTCTAATCAAAACAAATAGTAAATAATCTACTTGTTACATAAAAGAACCTTGTTAGGATCTAGATCTACTCAGCTATGTGTCAACCAGTGAGGCGTTCGACATTTCAAGACGGAAAACCTTCGCTGGCGGTGTGTACTCGGTGAAGGCTTTGATGTGAGCTATGTTTCTAATGTTTTGTTGATATTTCACAGGCGCGAGCTTTTTATATGTTATGACAGTAGATTACCGATTAATTGTTTATATAATTTCATATGGCTATTTCACCACACGTTCTTCTTACCGAGTCACTTTCTCAGTTCGATACTTAAAAGCAATGTCATTATTTAGCATTGACAGAATTTCTAACTGTTATATAGATATGTCTTTGTCACAGACAAATCTCAATGTCTGTTTTATTGACACCTATGTGTCTGCCTGCCTGTCTGCTAATGACAATATGCAATACACAACTCCGATCACTGACCACATGCAATTTTAACTTAACACCTATCAGGCTATACACCATAAACAAAACGTTACACTTGAGTGCACACCCACCCGCTCTGACTGGGTTCGGTATCCCGGGTGCTTCTTTTCGAGGGAAGTAAACCTAAGTACAAAATATTGCACTTTTGGTTTGCAATTGTACACTTATAGTTTTTTAATATGTTTTTTTTTATAATCAGCAATGTATATTATATGTCATGAATAAGTGATAATTGTGTTTTAATTATGTTTGATTTTTTGGTTGCATGTGACCTTTAAGTTACTTCCTCATTTGGTTCTCTTATGAACACTAAATTTGCAAACATGAAACCCAAAAAGAATACCCTTACCTCAAGGACATTGAGACAGTACATGATGACATATTCATTGCCAGTGTGGCTAATGAAAAACAAGCTGTGACGCCACGCATCTTTTGTCTGAGCAAAATTATTCAGCAAGGACTCTGAAACAATGGTAAAACAATATTACATAAAACAAACTATGAATGATAACAGATTACAATTTTTGTATAGAATATATATAATTTTATGATTTTCAACATGTCCAAATTGATCACAGTAAATGAAGACACATTAAGGGATATTGATATTATTTACTGCTAGATGGAACTATTGTTGGGTTTAAAATGCATTCTCAAATGCTATCATTTCAAAGAAAACATTACCAATTTCTCTTTTCCGTTCATTTGTAGTTCTGATGTCAAAAAACTCCGACATCAAAGTTTCCAAGGACCTCAAAGAGTTTTCTGTAGATGCCTGCAGCACAAAATGCACAAGTTATATTAGGAATAGCGATTATGAATTGTAAAATTGTACACATACATGTCATGCAGAAACCAGAAGTAACAGACTGAGCAATTCTGTTGGAAATATATAGTACAGTAAATAGGACTGGCAAACAAATATTACTCAGTAACAAGCATGGCGAGTAGTGCTCTTCTCATTCACAGTGCACCAGATAATTGCTTTAGCTGATGAGAGTACAGGGACAGAATTCTGTCTTAATTGGAGTATAGCATCATTTTGTCTCAAAATCAATTCTAAATGCCATTCAATTTCAAAGGCTCTGTATTTTCTTTGGTCGCAAATAACTTTCACCACACTATTCGAGTGCTGTGTTGTACCTTTCTTTGTTTTCCAAGAAACCTATACGAATGTGACTATGAGGATGAGGATGACATCATCAGTGCTATTCAAACTATAAAGAAACTCATAAGTTCCATAATATAAGTATGCATGTACTTACAGCCTAATGATTCATAAAGTAGGAAAACAGTGCTGTTAAAAGCAGACCTTCAGTATTTATCCATGAAATACTTCAGATAAATGCAATTAACACTCCGCAAGTTTTAAGATGCAACAGCCATTAAAACTTGAGATGTACAACTACATGACAGGTAAACCAGTGTTCGCGAATAGTGTCTGACCCTCTGACAAATCTGGCAGATTCGCCAACGGTCCGATAGAAGTCTACAACCCACCGGCCCCAGTGTCCGACTGTATATTTCACAATGACTTTGACTGAAGTTGTTATATGTGACATGTGACACTTGTTTGCTGTTTATTTTATCTTAATTTTTCTTATGTTTGTTAATAATTTCAATGCCAATTATTAGAAATGTTAAATCTGAAATGTGTGTTTAATTTTATTCCATGGGTCCTGTGAATTTTCAATGGGTCAGACAGACATCTTAAACTTACAGGACCCAATATCTTGTTACTTTGAAACACCATTCGTGAACACTGGTAAACATTCTAATATAAGTGGCAATGAGAGGAACTAAGTCCCCTTTTTACATAATGTTACCATCGTTTCCATAGATATCATATGGAAAACATGTCTATCTGATCATCTTGACCATATCATGATGCTCATGACACAGAACAATAGAATTTCTGAGGGAAGGCTTTAATGGCAGGTATGTAGTTATGATGACTAAGGTGCCCTCTCAAACCATTGTGAATAATATTTATTCAAGAGAAACTCACTGGCAAAGAAAATGGTAGCATAATCTTGAAAAATGGTGGTTTTGGTCTTAAAGGACTTTGCAACCAATTAGATTGAGTGAGTATGGTTTCACGCCACTTCTAGCAATATTCCAGCAATATCACTGCCGGGGACACCAGAAATGGGCTTCACACATTGTACCCATGTGGGGAACCGAACCCGTGCCTTCAGCGTAACGAGCCAACACTTTAACCACTAGGCTATCCCACAGCCGCTACAACAACCAATTGCAAGTATGGCTGTTTACATGGATTAGCTGAAAAAGATTTGATCCGAAGCAGAGGATGGAAGTCCTTATGTTACTAGCTGTGTACATTAAACAATATGGTGCAAAACAAGGTATGTCAAGTACTAACGATATTACCACAAGTTTCAAACCAGATAGAAGAGTTTGATTTGAATAAATTTCTATTTGATAACATTGTATCATTCAAACCATGCTGACTCAGAACAAAGCTTTATTGTGGCAATTACATGAGCCTTAGCTATTTATCATAATTGTTGTAACAGAATGGAGCCACAGTAAGCCCATAGTACAATACCCTATATAACTGAAGATCATATTTCAGCATCTTTGATTTGAGAACATTTAAAAAAAATAATAAACTGAATACATAATGTCAGTGAGGAGAGTGATATGTTAATATTTGAAATGCTCTAGCCAATGAAGGTCATGTGCGGGTTCCCCATTTCATGGGTTTTTACTATTAGAAACTCTGAAAACATAAAAGTGACCATTACTACAATATATAAGATAAACTGCGCTAATCAAGCTGTTCACTTGCACTGACATTTGTGGCAATGTGTCCTCCCTGTCAGTGCCTGTAATGAAGGGTTCACGATCATTTGGAACTGGAAATGCACATGGGCATTAAAGGTAAGTTGCACATATAAGCGTGTAGGATACATAACAGAAATAATAAACTGTAAAACACATGACACTGACATTGAGGTTTTGCTATGGAATATTGAACGATAGATCACCGCATCAGGGATGAAGATGTTTAGCTGAAGATGATGACGCACAGGGAAGTTCAAGAGCTATATTGCTAAACCCGAGATGGGAACGTATAATATACATATTCACTTCCTGAAAATAACTTTGCAGATTACGTTTTCTGACGCAGCGCATGTTCATATATGTAAAAATGTTAAGTCTGCAAAACACGACAAATCACATGTGACAGTTCGCACGGTTCAGCCCACGCACATGTTCCATTGCCTTTCCCTTATTGACTTCAACTAATATATTTTCAAATATTTCCAGGGAATAGTTACCATTATTGTCTCAAGTTGCAGGGCTTATTTACGCCTAGTACACCAATGATCTGTATTTAAATGTCCATTCTCATCTTGTAAAATTCACGACACTCTCAGAACTCTGCCATTTTTGCTGAAGCATCCTGGGATATATTCATACCGTTTCAATTATCTCCCTTCGATGCTGATACCGGGTTATTGCCCTTACCATAACATTTTCCTGAAATGCCCCCAAACTGACGTATTTTAATATAATATAAAACTCCCGAGACAGATTTGTAGTGAATGACTAAAATGTCCTGGGAAACGTTAACAATGGTTCAAATTATTTATTTTTGCTAGTTTTGTCTTTGTTTGATAGATTTATCTATATTTCATCATAATAATATCGACTATTTGAAATGCTCTTGAAAATAGAAATGGATAAGAGAACAGCCAACGAGCTACGTGAGTGTGAGTGAGTGAGTTTAGTTTTACGTCGCACTCAGCAATATTCCAGTTATATGGCGGCGGTTTGTAAATAATCGAGTCTGGACCAGTCAATCAAGTGATCAACAGCATGAGCATCGATCTGCGCAATTGTGAACCGATGACATGTGACAACCAAGTCAGCGAGCCTGACCACCCGATCCCGTTAGTCGCCTCTTGCGACAAGCATGGGTTACTGAAGATCAATATTCTAACCTGGATCTTCACGGGTTTCCAACGAGCAACGAGGATATAACAATTGTCTTTTTATGAGGTATGCTTGGATCCACCATACCGTATTTTCCGTACATTGAAGAAATAGGACTTAAATTGATGGCTAAAATACGAAACATGTGTACATTTGTTGATTATTTTATATCTTGGCAACACACCACTAATTACCTGTATCGTTATGTCCGGGTAGTTTCGTATCGTGACCTGAGGAGAGTATAACAGATTGTTTACAACGTCGTTGTTTCATACAGACTGGGTAACTGTACAGCCAATACTTATTGTTCAGATTTTCACTAAACTACAACAATATCACTGATAAATTTGATGTTTACCATGACCCATATTTGGTTCGGTTGGGATAATGGTGCGTTGCGTGTGTGTTGAGGTGAAATTGTTTTTTTACTTAAAAAAACAAGGTACAATACTATGTTTACGATATCTGTGTCTTCACAGGCAGGACGTCTTGTCTTCACACGTGTCGCGTGAAAGCAGGTTTCCTCGAGTTCAAGACAACTGATGGTAAAAAGAGTTGAGTTGGGTTGAGTAGAATTTTACGGCGGCATTATAGACCATTCTTAATGAGGCCTCATGAATATTCATATCTGTACCAAAACGAGGCTAAACGGGGCAAGGACACAATCGCATAATGGCGACAAATCTCAATGTATACTTCCTGGTTTCAAATTTCCCTTGAACGGTACATTACGAAACTGTCCAGTAGTTCAGGGAAATCGCAGAGTAATGGGAAAGGGCTACACAAATGTTTCTGTAGCATATCCACGGATTGAAGGGTGAATAATTACTGTACATCACGACACATCACGATAAGTCATATGACCTAGATATCTAGGTAACGTTTACCATGTTGCGCAGCATTTATGAAGGGAAGCTACTCTAAAGTCACAATAGTGGAAATATTACCAAGGGAAGTCAATTACGTTTACTTTATCAACATATGAACAAAGCAAAAGACTCAACGTATTTCCTGACCTGGATTCAAATCATCCACTTCCACATGGGAGTAGTGTTGTTAATTCTTGAGCTGGATAATCGAGATTATAAGTAATGTACGTGTAGATCAAGATAGCTCTCCTCGAGTGGATCTGGACCAAACAAATTTGTTTGTATTATTCATGTGATGAAATTATTTGTTTGGTATTTTTTCTGTTTAAAATGTTTTGTCCTATCGACTCTGTTTTATAGATATAGGGTATTTATTCACGCATTTATTTTCAGTTGTACAGGACTAGTGGTGATGGGGATGTGCGCGTAGTTGCATGTTACAATCGCAGAGGAAAAACGAATCGCCACATCATCATGTAGAAACTATTGATTTCACTCAACATGAGTGGGACCAGAGACCATATCTATTATATGGTCTCTGGTGGGACACAATGTGCAAGACAAAACTGGATGATTTTTTTTCACGTTTTTTCTTGACTGATTTGGAGGTGAATAATTAATTTACCTAAATGGACAAGTGGTACCTGTATGGGAATATTTGAACCAATTTTCAATATTGTGTTACTATACCATAAAATTGATTTATTGTAGATCAGGTGTATTTATTCTGTTCCACTGTAACTGAAGACATTTTTAAGGAGAACATATTATAAGATTAACATAACAGGATTCACACTACAGCAAACAATTAACCCAAATAAATAACGAACACCTGGAGTGCAGTTAATAAAAATTTATTTTGAAATGGTGTCTTAAAAGTCCAATAACAATAGACACATTCACA